GCCCGCCGGGTACAGCTCCAGCGAGCCCGCGGCGACCCCGGGCTTCTCGTCGGGCTGCTCCACTTTGCTCGTTCGCCCGGGCTCAACTAGATTCCAAAAAAGATTCAAGACATCCATTTCAGAGGCCTCGGCCGCCGTTCAGAGCGCCCTAACCACCCGGGGAGGGGGCAGAACCCTTTCAGAGCCCGTTCCACCCGTGGAAATGGGCAAAATTTCCCCCTAACCGGCCCAAAACGGCCCCGCAGGACCAACATCCCCTAACAGGGTCAATCGCTGAGTGCTGCGAAGCCCCCGCAGGGCCGGGGGAAGCACCTACCTGCACACGGGCTCACGAGGATCTTGCTGTCCTCCTGCATTGTCTGGCCTTCGGGGAACGGCTCCTCCGACTGTTTAATACCGAACAAGCCACCGGGCTTGAAAAATCTGTAGCCTGGTTGAAGGGATAAGAGCTGGTCACCATGAACTGTCACACTGCAAAACATGCATTCGGCAGACACATCATTATGCGGGGAGATTGCCTGCGTTTTAATTCACAAATCAGCTAAAATTAACCCAGCCTCGGGGCGCTGCTTTCATCTATTTTTAAGCCGCCGCTGCCTGGAGTGTAATTAAAGATAAAAAAGCAACCCCAGCTCCAGCCTCCCTCCTCCTGGCAGCGCGCGTGCTCCAGCGAGAGGTGAGGGAGAGCACCCAGCCCTGGAACGCGGCGCCCCCCCCTGCAGAGCCCCCCCCCAGCCTCACCCCGGCGCCCTCAGCCCCCGCCCGGCGTTTCCACGGTAGGATTTCAAAGGCTCCCCCAGGAATGCCACCGGCGCGGCCCCAACCCCAAACCGGGAGCAAAGCCTCCACCTGCCTGCGGCGTGGGCGGGGGTTTTCCTCCTCCTCCTCCTCCTTCTCCTCCTTCTCCTCCCCCCCGCCCCGTGCCACATCTGCAGGGGTTTTAGGAACGGATCCTGCGCCCCCCGGGTGCCCCCTCACCTGTGCAGGGGTCGGAGGGGATCTCTGCGCCCGCGGCATCCAGCTCATGGCCAGCCCTGGGCACCTCGTTCAGCCTGGGGTAAGGGAGCAGGTTCAGGACGTGGGCAGGCTGCTCCGGGAGAGAGGGGAAGCGTTTTTGGGGTCACTTTTTCCTTTTTTTGGTTTATTTTATTTTATTTTATTTATTTTATTTTATTTTACTTTGCTTTTCACCAGGCGGGAGGCGTGGGGCCGGGGCGCTGGGAGCTGTCGCAGCGATCCCGAGCCATCCCCCACTCCCCTCCCCGATCCCTTTTAGCACCCCAAAACTCCCCAAAAAACCTCAGGACCACCCATCCAGGGCCGGGACCAAAGAGGGAAAGCCCCGAGCAGCTCCCCCGGGGGGATCCTGGTGCCCTTTTCCACCCCCCCTGGGGGCTCCCCTCGTGTCCCCCCCCACCGGTGCTCCCCGCTGGCTGCCCTGGCGCCTGTCACAACTTCCCCAAATGCCAACCCCAAAAGGAAAACCTCACACGGGGGCCGAGAGCAGCCCCCCGGCGACCGGAGGGGGGGGGAGAAAATCACCGGGGGGGGCAGCTCCCGACCCCCAGGAGGCCGCCGGGCGGCACAAAAGGCAAGGCCGGGCCCCCCCCGCCCCGCACGCGCGCAGCCCTCGGGGCACGGCGGATCCCCGGGGACCCCTCATCCCCCCCACCCCCCAAAAAAACCTACCTGGGGAGCCCCCCCGGCGGACATGGTGCCCCCACTGGGGGCCGTGGGGCGCGGGGGGGTGGCGGCGGCCGTGTCCTCCCCCTCCAGCTTCCAGGGCGGGCTCGGCTCTTCCCCAACTTCCTCCAAATGGCTGCGGCGGGGGCCCTGCGGGAGCCGAGGGGAGCGGTGAGCGCGGTGGGGGCGGTTTGGGGGGGGGCACGGCGGGAGCCCCCCCAAATTCCTCCTCCTGCGAGCTCTCCGAGGGGGGAAGGAAGGAGCCAGCCCCGGGGTCTGGCCCGAGTTCAGGGGCTCTGTTTACAGGAAAACCTCCCCGCGGCCCGCGCGCCGAGCGCTGCCGGGAGTTGTAGTCCTGCAGCTGGGGGGGGGGGGACGGGGGGGGGATAAAATGCGGCCCCCGTGGCTCCGGGTTCAAACCCATTTAGGGTTTTGGGGGGTTTGGGGGGTTTGGGGGGGGTCCCCGAGCCGGCCCCGCAGCCCTGAGCGTGTTTTGGGGTGGTTTTTGGGGGGGGTTGGCAGGCATGGCTGCGGGGGGGGTCGGATGGCTGCAGTCCCCCACCCTATATCCCTTTTTTTCTCTTTTCTGCCCCATTTTTAGGGACGCCCGGGCTGGATTTGCCCCGAATGATGCAACCAGCACCAAATTGGGGGATTCAGGTCTCCAAGCACCCGCGGGGGCAGCAGGGGGTCCCCAAATAGTGACCAGGGCGGGACAGATCCTACAGACCCCAAAACTGCCCCGGGCTCCTCGGGGACCCCTCCCCATATTTTGGGGGGGGGTTGATGAGCCCCTGGACTCTTTTGGGATCGTTTTTGGGGCCCTGGTTGGAGCCGCCCTGGCAGCTCGCCGGGACCGAGGGCTGGGACTGGGAGTGGTGCGCCCGGGGTGCTGCAGGCACCGGTATCGCGATACTGGGAGCTACTGGGAGCTACTGGTGTCACAGCACCGAGGGGCTCGCTGCTAGGTGCTGGTGTCGCGATACTGAGCACCCGCTATTAGCCACTGGTATCGTGATACTGGGAGACTCATCGTTAGGCACTGGTATTGTGACACTGAGCACCCAACCGTTAGGCATCGGTATCGTGACACCGAGGACCCACTGTGAGCCACGAGTATCGTGACACGGGTATCGTGCTAGGCACAGGTATCGTGATACTGAGCGATTCACCAATAGCCACCGGTATCGTGACAGCAAGGGATCCACCACTAGGCAGTGGTATCACGATATTGAGCACCCATTAGCCACTGGTATCATGACACCAAGAGACCCAGCATTAGGCACTGGTATCGCGATATTGAGCACCCATCAGCCACCGGTATCACGATTCTGGGGGACCCAGCATCAGGCACTGGTATGGTACTGGGAGACTCTGTTGTGATACTGGGAGACTCTATCGTGATACTGGGTGACTCACCGTTAGGCACTGCTATCGTGATACTGAGCACCCAGTGTTACTCTGCGTTATCACGACACTGAGCACCCATCAGCCACCGCTATCACGATTCTGGGGACCCAGCGTCAGGCACTGGCATGACACTGGGTGACTCTATCGCGATACTGGCTGACTCACCATTACCCACTGGTATGACACTGGGCGACCATATCGCGATATGAGGGACTCACCGACAGCCCCCGGTACCTCAGTGCCGATGGATTCACCATTAGCCCCTACTATCGCGATAACAGCTGACTCACCATCACCCCCAGTACCATTATCGCGACATCGATCCCCCCGTTTCCCCTTCTATCACCCCCCCACCCCCCCCAGCCGGTACCGGGACCGCCCCCGGCCACACACAGAGGCCGCGGGGGGGGCCTCGGGGGCTCCGCTCCGGCAGCCGCAGGCCCGGGGGCTCCGGGGGCGGGCGGGGGCGGCGGCTCCGCGATACGGGGGGCACCGGGGCCCCTCCCCCCGCCGCTCCCCCCCCCCCCCCCCCACCGGGCCCCGTTCCCCGCCCCCCCCCCCCCACGGCCCCGGGGCCGCCTCCCCGGGGGACTCACGGCCGCCGGCGTCCCGCGGCGTGATGACGTCGCCGCGGCGTGCTGACGTCGCCGCGGCGCGGTGACGCCGCCGCGACGATGACGTCAGCGCGGCGGCGACGCCGGCTGGGTGTGAAGGGGGGGGGGGGGGGGGGGGGGGGGGGGGGTTAAAGCCGCGCCCGCCGCGGGGGCTGCTGGGAGTTGTAGTTCCCGCCCATCCCGCCCGCCACAGCACTTCCGGGTCACCCTCCCCAACCCAGGGGCGGGCCGGAAGTAGCGCGCGGCACCATAGAGCGCGCACCTAGAGCGGCGCTACCATAGAGTTGCCCGATGTGTGCTAGAGCGCCCCCTGCCGGCCCCCTCAGTCCTCCCCCCTTACCCCCCCGTTAACCCCCGGTACCCCCCCAGTACCCCCCCCGTTATTCCCCCAGTACCCCCCAATGCCCCCTGGGTACCCCCCATTACCCCCCCACTACCCCCATTACTCCCCATTACCCCCTCATTGCCCCCCAGTACCCCCAGTACCCCCAGTACCCCCAGTACTCCCCTTTACCCCCCATTACCCCCTCATTGCCCCCAGTACCCCCCATTATTCCCCCGTTACCCCCCAATAACTCCTGGGTGCCCCCGGGTACCCCCCGTTATCCCCTGTACCCCCCGGGACCCCTCGGTACCCCCCCATTCCCCCCCCAGATCCCCCCGTTATTCCCCCATTATCCCCCAATACCTCCTGGGTACCCCCCGTTACCCCCAGTACCTCCCCGTAACTCCCCATTACGCCCCCATTACCCCCTGGTACCCCTTGGATACCCCCCAGTACCCCCCCATTACCCCCGTTACCCCGGTACCCCCCATTACCCCCCGTTACTCCCTGTTACCCCCCTATTACCCCCACTACCCATTCGGTACCCCCGGTACCCCCCAATACCCCTCAGTACCCCCATTACCCCCCGGTACCCCCCTGTTATCCCCTCACTACCCCCCTGCTACCCCCCCATTACCCCCCATTACTCCCCGTTACTCCCCAGTACCCCCCCACTACCCATTCGTTACCCCCCACTACCCCCCTGTTACCCCCCATTACCCCCCATTACCTCCCAGTACCCTCCAGTACCCCCCATTACCCCCCACTACCCATTTGGTACCCCCGTTACCCCCCTGTTACCCCCCCGTTACCCCCTCACTACCCCCCCATTACCCCCATTACCCCCCCATTACCCCCCTCACTCCCCCCCGCACCCCCCCCTCCCCCTCCACCCCCTCCTCCCCATCCCCCCTTTCCCCCACCCCGTGCCCGCCGCCCTCCCGCTCCCAACACCTCCCCATAACCCCCCCGTAACCCCCCCCATGGGTGCGCCTCCTCCCGGGGGGGCGGAGCGGGGCCGTTCGGGGCCGTTTGGGACCGGAGAAGAAGCAGCGGCGGCGGTGGCGGTGGTGGCGGTGGTGGCGGTGGCGGCGATGGGGCGGCTGCTGCTGGCCCTCGCCGTGGGCTTGGTGGCCGTGGTGGCCGGTAGCCAGCCCCCCCTGCAGCGGCGCGTGGTGCGGGACGTGCTCGAGTACTTCCACGGCCGGGGCTCCGTGCACTTCCTCTTCAGGGAGCAATCCCTCGAGGGGGTGCAAGAGCGGGTGAGTGCCCCGCGGGTACCGTTACCGGCACCGGGGGGGGGGGACCCTACCCGTGACCCCGTGACCCCTGCGGGGGTCGTGGTGGGGAGCGCCGGGGGTTTGGGGGTGTCCCGGTGGTGCTGGCCGTGCCCGTTGGCACGGGGCAGGGTGCGCCGGCGGGGTTCGGCTACTCATTAACCACGGCACCACCGGGAGTGGACTCGGGGACGCCGGGTCCCGGTGTCCCCGGGCAGGACGCGGTGTCCCAGTTCAGCTCCGTCCTGTCCCAGTGTCCCCAGTTAGGACACGGAGTCCCGGTTCAGCTCCGTCCCAACCCAGTGTCCCCAGGCAGGGGTGTACCGGTTCGGCTCTATCCCATCCCAGTGTTCCCAGTTAGGACGCGGAGTCCCGGTTCAGCTCCGTCCCAGTGTTCCCAGTTAGGACGCGGAGCCCCGGTTCAGCTCCGTCCCAGTGTTCCCAGTTAGGACGCGGAGCCCCGGTTCGGCTCCGTCCCATCCCGGTGTCCCCAGTTAGGACGCGGAGCCCCAGTTCGGCTCCGTCCCAACCCAGTGTCCCCAGGCAGGGGTGTACCGGTTCGGCTCTATCCCATCCCAGTGTTCCCAGTTAGGACGCGGAGCCCCAGTTCAGCTCCGTCCCAGTGTTCCCAGTTAGGACGTGGAGCCCCGGTTTGGCTCCGTCCCGTCCCAGTGTCCCCAGTTAGGACGTGGAGCCCCGGTTCGGCTCCGTCCCAGCCCGGTGTCCCCAGGCAGGGGTGTCCCAGTTCGGCCCCGTCCCATCCCAGTGTCCCCAGTTAGGACACAGAGCCCTGGTTCGGCTCCGTCCCATTCCCCCGGAGCTCCCCCCAGGCGCTGCCGGTGCTCACGGGGGGTTTGGGGTTGTAGGGACGCCCCCCTCGGAGCCGCTCACCCCTCACGGGGCCTCGGGTTGATTTGGGGCTGGGTTCGCCCTCGGGGCCGTTGTCCCTGCGCCCATGGGGACGGTGGCAGCAGGAGGGGGCAGGGGGCAGCACAAATTTTCGGGTCCCTCCTGCTCCTTCCTCGCTACACCCAGGCGGATCCTGCCTCTCCTCACCCCGTGGGCACCCCAAAATATCCCCCCGTGCCCCCCGCGTCCCCCCCTCCCCGCCTCTTATGGGGTCGTTTCCCTCCCCGCACCAGCAAGACCCCTCGGGGACGTTCGTCCAGCTCCGCGTCAACCTGGTGCAGACCAACTGCAGGAAGAGGGCGCAGAGGACGCACAACTGCAAGGCGGTGGAGAACCGGGTGAGATTTATGGTTTGGCCCCAAAAACGACCCCGTGAACCCCCCCCCCCTCTTTGGGTGGGCTTGGGGTGGGGGGGGGGGCAGCGCCGCTGACCCCGTTGTGTCCCCAGAGGCGGCCGGCCTGCCTGGCGTGCTACAAGTTTGACACCAGCGATGTCCCCAAAGTGCTGGACAAGTACCACAACTGCGCGCCCAGCCACCACCTGGCCGTCAAGGTGAGCTATGGGGGGGGCTCCTGGGGGGGCTGCGGGGCACTCATGGGGGTCCCGGAGGTGCCCCGGTGCCACCCCCCTCGCCCTCTGCCCCGCAGGAGATAAAGCAGCGCGACGAGGCCGAGTGTAGGGCCGTGGAGGAGGCCGGCAAGGCGCTGGATGCCCTCTACCTGCCCGGCATGTTCGCCTTCTCCAGAGCTTATCAAGCCTAGGGCGGCTGCCCCAAAACCACGGTGGGTACGGGGACGGCCCCCCCGGCCCCCCCGGGCACCCACCTCCCTCCCCTGGGTGCCCCTAAACGGGGAGGTGCGGGCGGGGGGCTCGCCCCGCAGCCAGCTTTCAGCTCCCCCCCTGTCCCCCTCTTTTTCCAGGCCAGCCCTAAAGGATGCTGATCCGGGGCCAGCCCGGCCCCCCGAGCTTGCTGCCCCCCCCAGCGCTGTGCAATGAAGGGAGGGGGCGTCCTGCAGGCGGCCCCCCCCCCATCCCCCAAAACCCACGCCTAGGCAGTATCCGCACGCACCAGTAAACCCCAGCTCTGCCTCTGCTGGTCTCCGCTCTCATTCCCACTCGGGGTTGCTGGGGCGGGCTGGGCTCCACGTCCCCCCTCCTGTGGGTGTCTGGGGGGGGCTCTGCCGAGGCTGTGACCCCCCCTGCACGCTGCCCCCGTGGGTCTTGCACCCCTGGCAGGCTCAGGAGGGATGTGGGATGCACCGGGACGCAGCACAAAGCAGCGGGGACCTCGAGGACAGCCCCACACCTTTAATGCACAGCCCCATAACACCCCCCCCGCCCTGCAGCCCCCATCCCCACCGTGCCGGGGGGGTCGGGGACAGCTCCAAAATCCGCCAGGCGTTTGGATGAGCTGCTCCTCTGCTGCTGCGGCGGCGGTGGGGGGGACGGGGGGCCCGGGTACCCATGGGTGCCATGAGCTTGGGACCCCACGGAGCACCACGAGGCGGATGAAGGAGCCGGAGCGCAGTGGGATTTGGGCACCGCAGCAGCTTGGAGGCGAGGTCGGCCCCGTGGCTCCTTGGGGGCAGCTGGAATTGGGACGGGGGCGCACGGGGCTCCGGGACCGGGAGCCCTCAGAAGACGAAGGAGCCCGTGGGGTCCGTGCGGACGCTGAGCGCCCGCTCCGCCTGGGCGATGGTGTCGTCGGCGCGCCGGCTGAGCTCGCGGCACTCCTGCAGCACCTCCCCAAACTGCTTGTACGCCTCCTCGATGATGGAGCTGCGCCGGGGCGGCGGCGGCTCCCAAAAACTCGCCTGCACCCAAGGCTGGGCGGCGCGGGGAGGCGCGGGACCGGGACCGGCACCCGGCGAACCGTCCAGGTCGCGGCACAGCTGGAAGAGCTCGCTGCCCCGACCCGAAACCCGCTCGCCATCAATGGCCTTGAGGCCGGGCAGCGCCTCGGCCAGCGCGGCGCGGTAGGCGGCGGAGGCGGCGCAGACGGGGTTGCTGAGCTGGCCCAGGGCGTCGCGCAGCCGCAGGCTCTCCAAGCGCCGCAAGCCGGCCAGGCAGCGCAGCTGCTGCAGGCTGCTCACCAGGTTCCCGGCCAGGTTGAGGCTCTGGAGGTTCTCGCAGGAACCCAGCGGCTCCAGGCTGGAGACGCGGTTGCGGGAGAGGTTGAGGACGGCCAGCTGCTTGAGGCCGGCCAGCGGGCCCAGCTGCGAGATGGAGTTGCCGGAGAGGTCGAGCCACTCCAGGTGGGCGCAGTCGCCCAAGCAGCCCAGGTCGGCGATGCCGCGGCCCCGCAGGCGCAGCAGGAGGATGGAGTCGAGGGCGAACTGCCCGCTGCTCGCCTTCAGCAGCTGCGCCGTGATCCGCAGCCCCGCGCCCTCCTCGCCCTTCTCCCCGTGCGCCTCCATCCGCGCCGTGCGCCCTGCGGGGACCCCGAGGGTTGGCACCGGCACAGCCCCCCCAAGACCCCCCTATGGGGCTCAAATCCCCCCCGTGAAGCTCAGACCCCCCCCGTGGGACCCCCTCCTGACCTCCCCGGGGCTCTCCGTGGGGTGCTCGGGGCAGGCGGTGGGGAGACACCGGGGACCCCCCCCCACCTCTCCAAGCACCGGGACCCCCTCCCCGCGCGCTCACCAAACGGTGGCTCCTGGTGGCCCCCTCGGCTCCGCCTCCCGTTGCCACGGTGATGGAGGGGGAGGGGCACCGGGAGCAGCACCGGGACCGAAGGGCATCGGGGAGGGGGGGGCACGGGGGGTGGGGGGGGGAGGGATGGGGTGGATGGACGGACGGACGGACGGAGGGGTGGGGGGATGGGAGATGGGGATGGATGGATGGGGGGGGGTGGATGGATGGATGGATGGATGGACGGACGGACGGACAGACAGATGGCACCAAGGGTCATGGCACGGCAGCGGGCTCGTGGCACGGGGGGTGGGGGGGGCTGCGCTCGGGGGTCCCGGGGGGTCTCCTCCAGCCTCAGTGGTTCTGTGATCCCAGGGGTGGGACAGGTGGGCGCATGGGGTGGACGGACGGACAGACGGACAGATGGATGGATGGATGGATGGACGGACGGACGGACAGACAGATGAGGAAGGAATGGAGGAAGGGGCAGGAGGGACAGAAGGAGGGATGGATGGACAGACGGACAGAGGGGTGGATAAATGGACACTCGGACACCTGAATAAATGGATGGATGGACAGACAGACAGATGGAGCAGAGGAATGACGAGATGGAGGGATGGACAGACAGATGGGAGGGATGGCTGGGACAGAGGGGAGGACAGACAGATGGACGGATGGGACAGAGGGATGGAGGGGGTCCTCCAGCCCCCCACACCCCTCACCAGCCAGGGCTGCTCCCACGGCTGCCGGGCACCCACGGGGCCACGGCCCTGCCTGCACCGGGGCTGATGTCCCTGTGCCACCGCCGTGCCCTCACCGGTGTCCCCAGTCACATCTCTGTGCCCTCACCGGTGTCCCCAGTCACATCCCCGTGCCACCACTGGTGTCCCCGGTCACGTCCCCGTGCCCTCCTCAGTGTCCCCAGTCACGTCCCCGTGCCACCACCGGTGTCCCCGGTCACGTCCCCGTGCCGCAGCCGTGCCCACAGCCCCGCCGTGACCGCTGTCCCCAGACACATCCCGAGCTGGAAGGGACCCACAGGGCTCACCGAGCCCAACCCCTGGCACCGCACAGATCTGCCCAAAATTCAGACCTGTGGCTGAGAGCAGAGCCCAAACGCTGCTTAAACTCAGCCTTGGTGCCGTGCCCGCACCCCTGGGGAGCCCCTTCCAGTGCGCAACCACCTCTTGCTGACAAACCCCTTCCCGATGCCCACACCAGCCCCCCACCACCCTTCCCTCCGGGGGGCCGCAGCCCCATCCCGGGGCCGGATGGTGCCTGGCGGCCACGGGAAGGGCGGCAGCGGCAGGGCCCCGGCCCCCTCCCTTCCGTCGCGGCGGTGCCGGCCCTGCCAGCTCCATGCCGGCCGCAGCAATAACAGGAAACCCAGCCGGGAGCCCCACGGTGCTGCAGCGGGGAGATAAACGAGAACCACCACCGCCAGCCCCCCCGCTGCTGCCGGGGCTGGGGGCACCCAGGGGATGGGGATGTGCCAGCTCGCCCCGTCCCCGCTGTCCTGCTGCCCTCCTGGCACCGTCACCGGCTGCCAGGGATGGCGAGATGGGATGGGGATGGGGTGACACAGGGCTCGGATTTGGGGTGGGGGCAGCATCCCCCGGTGGGGAGCCCGGTGTCTCCTTCCCGTGCCAGATCCAGCAGGAGCTGGATGCTGCCAGCACGGCTCAGCCCTGTCCTGCGCTGCCCCACGCCGAGGTTCAGCACCAGGCACCTTTTTACGTGTGCTGCTGCACGGCTCCCGCCCGCGGTTGCGGCCCCAGGCTCGTGTTTTCTCCCCCCTTCCAGCAGCAAACAAGCGCGGATTCAGCTCAGCGCGCCGCAGGACGGGGGAAAAAACAACCCGCAGGCATGTGGCCGGCGCCAGGAGAGCCTGCAGCACCGCTACCTGGCCGGGAACCCCAGCCCTGCCTACAGCCGAGGGGTTTTGGGGTGGGAGCATGGCCCCACGCAGCCCCCACGCTCTGCTGCATCCCACCAGCCCCGCGGTGCTGGCACCCCGCACGCCGTCCCGCTGCGCTTCCTTCGCTCCTGCTCAGCCCCACAACATCCCCAGGGAAACTTGGCAAAGGATGGTTTATTGGCATTTACGAATTGTTCCTGCCACGGGGGAGCCTGCCAGGCCTGGGCAGGGCTGGGAGCAGGGCTCGTGCCCCCCGTGCGGCTGCGGGGAGCTTTTCCCCCAGGTGCTGGCCCTGCTGCCCCAGGTCCACCAGCCCTGCCACAGGCCAGCGCTCCGGTGCTGGAGCCGCCTCGCTGGGCCCTGCCTGGAGAAGGGCAGCGAGCCCAGACGCAGCGTCCTGGTGCCGGGGCCAAGAGCATCATCGGGTGCCCTGCACTGTCCCCATCGGCAGGAGCACGGCAGCTCTGTCCTTGTCCCCATCCCGATGCCACATAGGTCCCCGGAGCTGGGCACTCCACGTCGGAGCAGCCGGTTCCTCTCCTTGACCGCGGTGCCGGCGCAGGACACGGAGCACGGCAGCCCCGCGGGCAGGGGCTCAGCTCCCGGCGCTCAGGTGGCAGGGGCCGGGGCCACCCAGCTCTGCCGGGGCGCGGGCGCCGTGGCGTGGGTGCGCTCGTGGCGCAGCAGGTGGGTCTTGCGGCTGAAGCTCTTGCCGCACTGGGTGCAGATGTAGGGCCGGTGGCCGGTGTGCACGGCCTGGTGCCGCGCCAGGTTGGTCTTGGAGCTGAAGCGCTTGCCGCACTGGGCGCAGCCGTGGGGCCGGGTGCCGGTGTGCACCGCCTGGTGCCGCGCCAGGTGGGACTTGCGGCTGAAGCCGCGGCCGCACTGCTCGCAGGTGAAGGGGCGCGCGCCGGCGTGCGCCTTGGTGTGGGCGATCAGGTTGGGCCGGGAGCTGAAGCAGCGCCCGCACTGGGGGCAGGCGAAGGGGCGCTCGCCCGTGTGCACCCGCAGGTGCCGCAGCAGGTGCTGGTTGTGGGCGAAGCCGCGGCCGCAGTCGGGGCAGGCGAAGGGGCGCTCGCCCGTGTGGGTGCGCTGGTGCGTGGTCAGGTTGGGCTTGTGGCTGAAGGTCTTCTCGCAGTGGGGGCAGGCGTAGGGCTTCAGCCCCATGTGCCCGCGCAGGTGAGCCGTCAGGTGCCGCTTGTCGCTGAAGCCGCGGCCGCACTCGGCGCAGGCGAAGGGCCGCCCCTCCAGGTGCAGCCGGCGGTGGGACGTCAGGTTCTTCTTCCAGCTGAAGCTCTTCCCGCACTCGGGGCAGGGGAAGGGCTTCTGCTCGGCGGGCGGCAGCGCGGCGCCGTCGGCCGGCTCGGCGTGCAGCTGCTGGTGCCGCAGGAGGTGCTGCTTGTGGGCGAAGCTGCGGCCGCAGCAGGCGCAGGCATAGGGGCGCTCGCCGGTGTGGGTGCGCAGGTGCCGCACCAGGTGCGTCTTCTTGCGGAAGCGGCGGCCGCACTCGCTGCAGGGGAAGGGCCGCTCGCCCGTGTGCGTCTTCTGGTGGGAGCGGAGGTGGATCTTCTGGCGGAAGCGCCGGCCGCACTGGGCGCAGGGGTAGGGCCGCTCGCCCGTGTGCACCCGCAGGTGCCGGGTGAGGTGCGCCTTCTTGCCGAAGCCCTTCCCGCACTGGGCGCAGGCGAAGGGGCGCGGGGGGCCCGGGGAGCCGCACTGCCCGCACGGCCGGGGCTGCGCCGCGCAGCAGCAGTGCTGGCAAGCACCGGGGCCGGCCAGACCCTCGCCCAGCAGCGGCCAGGCGAAGGCGGGCAGCGCGCCGTAGCCCAGCTCCGCCGGTTCACCGGGGCTGGGCGGCTCCGGTTTGCAGGCGCCCGCGGCGGGCGGGGAGGTGCTGCCCGGGAGCTGCCCCGCCAGCAGGGCCTCGGCGCTGAGGCCGGCCGGCCACTCCTCGTCCTCGTCCTCCACCTTCACCTTCCGCACCAGCCAGTCCTCTGCGGGGCACAGAGCGGGGCCGTGGGGACGTGGTCGGCGCGCCCCGTGCTACGGACGGGCGGCACCGCCGCGGGGACCCAGTGATTCCCACCGCGTGCCCCCCGCGCACCCGCACCATGCCAACTTGTGGGTTTGCCATGAGCTGGTGGTGCTGGCACGGGAACCTCACCTGAGCAGCTGAGCTCCAGGCTGCCGTGCCCCTGCACGGCCCCCGCGTCCCCGCCGCCCGCCTGCTCCTCGCCATCGCCCTCAGGCAGCGCCTCCGCCTTGGGGACCAGCAGCCTCGCTGCCGGGAGAAAGCGTGGTGAAGCCGGGGGCCCCTCCAGATCCCCTCCAGATCCAGGGACCCCAGGGTTTTGGCACCAACCTGAGCCGGCGCAGCCCGCTGCCTCCGTCTCCTCCACCGGCGCTTGGGTGCGCGGCTCCTCCGCCTGCTCCGTGTGCGGCACCGGCTCTGGCTTGGTGATGGGGACACCTGCGTGGGACAGCACCGGGGTGGCTCCGGCTCCCAATCCCAGCTCCTGGCTCCCCCCTGGGCTCCGCACCCCAAAACCCAGCCACAGTGGGGCTGGGGGCCGGCACCACCGCCTGGCCGGGCCCCCGAGCTCGTGGCTCTGCGGCGGGCACGGGCGCAAACCCGGAGCCCCCGGTGTGGGTGTCGGTGCCGCTGCCTTACCCAGGGCGAGCAGGGCGTCGAAGCTCTCCCTCATGGTGCCGTCCTCAGCGGCCGCTCCCGTCGGCACTCGGGGGGGGGCTCAGCCCCTGTGGGGGGCATTGGGAAAACCAGAGGGGAGCAGCTGGAGCCCCCCGGCCTTGGGGAGCCCCCAGCACCCCCAGTGGGGACACGGCACCAGCGCTGCTGCCCCATCCCGGGCACCCCGAGGGGGTCGTGCCCCCTGTCACCCCTGTGCCCCCCCCCCGACCCCCAGCACTGCCCTGTCCCCCCCCATTGCCCCATTTCTCCCCATGTCCCCCATGTGCCCCCCACTGCCCCTGTGCCCCCCCAGCCCCTCCCAGCCCTGCTCTGTCCCCCCTAATTGCCCCATGTCCCCCCTGCGCCCCCCACTGCCCCCTGGCTCCCCCACCCCACTGTCCCCAGCCCCACGACCCCCATAACCCCCCCATAACCTCCCAAAACCCCCCATAATCCCCCATAACCCCTCCATAACCCCCCGTAACCCCCCCATAACCCCCTATACCCCCCCTATAACCCCCCAAAACCCCCCCACAGCCCCCTCAGCCCCGCACCCAGCCCCCGGGGGCGCGCCTCCCCCACCCCCCCCTCCGCCCCCCGGTGCTCGCCGCCGAGCGGGGCCCGGCCCCGTTCCCGTTCCCATTCCCGGTGCCGACCCCCCCCGCGCCCCTCTCTGTGTCCCCGGGCCCCCTTCCACCGCCCCTACCTGCGCCTCCGCCGCCTCCACCGGGCCCGGCCCCGCCGCCCGCCCCCCCGCCCGCGGTGGCCGCCGGTCCCCCCCCGCCCCACCGGGGCCCCCCCCCCCAACCGGCGCCGCCGCCCCCCGGAGGGACCGGGACGGAGCCGGGAGCGCACCCGGGGCCCCGCCGCTCGCCCCCCGCCGCCGCCGCGCGGCCCCGGCCCCGGGGCACCGGCACAGGCGGGCAGCGGGACTACAGCTCCCGGCAGCACGCCCGCCGTGCGGCACCGCCCCGAGCCGAGCCGAGCCGAGCCGAGAGGTGCCGAGCCGTGCCGAGCCGTGCCGGGCTGTGCCGGGCTGAGCTGTGCCAAAATGAACTGTCCTGGGATGTGCCAAGCTGTGCCAAGGTGCCCTGTGCTGTGCCAAGCTGTGCCGAGCCGTGCTGTGCCATGCTGAGCTGTGCCAAGCTAAGCTGAACCAAACTGTCCTGGGCTGTGCTGAGCTGTGCCAAGCTGTGCCGGGCTGTGCTGAGCCATGCTGGGCCATGCTGAGCCATGCCAAGCCAAGCTGTGCTGTGCCAAACCGAACTGTCCTGGGATGTGCCAAACCATGCCGAGCTGCCTTGTGCCGTGAAAAACTGAGCCAAGCTGTGCTGGGTCGTGCTTAGCCAAGCTGAGCCACGCCAAGCTAAGCTGAACCAAACTGTCCTGGGCTGTGCTGAGCTGTGCCAAGCTGAGCCAAGCTATGCCATGCCAAACCGAACTGTCCTGGGATGTGCTGAGCTGTGCCGAGTTGCCCTGTGCCATGCCAAGCTGAGCCAAGCTGTGCCATGCCAAACTGAACTGTCCTGGGCTGTGCCAAGCCATGCCAAGGTGCCCTGTGCTGTGCCAAGCTGAACCAAGCCGTGCCGGGCCGTGCTGTGCTGTGCTGAGCAGTGCTGAGTCATGCCAAGCTGTGCCAAACTGAGCCAACCTGTGCCAGCCGTGCCATACCACACCATGCCATGCTGTGCCATGTTGTCATGTGCCATGCCAATCCCAGACGAGAAATGCTGTACCGTGCCGAGCCGTGCCAAGCCATGCAGTGCTGAGCTGAGCAGCTGCCTGGGGCTGAACCCGGCACTGGAGGGGGCAGCGGCGTGGGGACACGGGGACAGGGGCACAGGGACAGGGGCACAGGGACACGGCACAGGGAGACAGGCATGGGGACACAGAGGGGGACACAGCTATGGGGACACAGGGATATGGCTATGGGGACATGGGGACACAGCTATGGGGACACAGGGGGACGTGGCTCTGGGGCTGGGAGATGAGCAGGGGGCCAACGAGGGGCAGGGAGCAGCCAGCAGGGAGCTGTGGGGCTGGGGTCCCCCCGGGCTGGGGCTGTGGAGCACGGGGACTTGGGGGGACGCAGGGCTGTGGGGCAGGGACACAGGCTTGTGGGGCTGCCCTGAGGTGTCCCTGTCCTTGTGGGGTCCTTTCCCTGTGGGTCTGGGGGCTGAGATGTGCCCCCCCCGTGCATTCCTGGAGGGGATGAGTGGGACCAGGACGTGGGGATCAGGAGCATCCGTGTCTGGCGCAGGGGGGCCGTGGGGTGGGATGCTGGACAGGGCACAGCTGCTGCAGGGGCACCAATCCGCAGCGTTTTGCCCTAGAAACGGCATCGACCTCCCATGGGGCCACGGGGGGGTCCCCATGACAGGCCCAATAGCCAGCCCCACAGCTGGCCCTGGCCGGCCGGACCCACCTGATAAAAAGCTGCCCCTTGGGGTGATTTTGGGGCTGCGAGAGATCCGGGAACAGAGGACGGAGCGCTGCGGGTCCGGGTAGCACCAGGTGAGGGGCTCTGCTGGGAGCGGGGGGCATCGGGCACCATCCCCCCGAGCTCCAGCCCCGGCACAGTCCCACCGAGCAGGGGGCACCCCCTGGGCACACCCACGGGGTCTGGGACCCTGTCACCATCACCGGGACCCCCAGGGAGGGGAGGGACCCCCAGCTCTGCCTTTACCCCTCGTGCAGAGGTGAAGGAGAGCAGGGACCATCCCCGGGGGGAAAGTTTGGGCACTCCCCGGGCTCTCCATCACCACCAAATCCTCCTCTCCAAAGGTTGTCTGGTGCTCACAGGCAGCGGTGAGCCACGGCGGGGATGGCACGGCCCCGGCAGCCCAGTGGCACGGGCATGGGCATCCTGGCCTCGCTGCTGCTCTGGGCTGCAGCCGAGGCTGCCAAGGGGTGAGTCCCGCGTGGGGAGCGGGGCCGGGCTGGCACAGGCTCCCGGTGACGCCGGCGGGTGTCCGGGTGCCGTGGCAGGCGGTGGTGCCAGCAGACGGTGCCGGTGACGGAGGAGGAGGTGGTGTCCCCCCGGCGTGAGGACGTGGTGCCCTGCCCCAGCATGTACCAGTACAGCCTGGCGGGCTGGAGGATCGACCGGGACCGCATGCGCCAGGCTTACGGAGGAGACCGCGGCGTCCGCCCTGCCAGTGCCCAGCCCGGCTCCGGCACCCCCATGTGCTACGTCTACAAGTGAGCACCGCGGGGTGTGTGGCATCGGGGAGGGCAGGGGGCACCAGGGGATGCCCGTCCCCGTGCCCCTTGCCCTCAGCCTGACTCCAGGGCTCCCCCAACTCCGCAGACCCCCGGAGACGCGGCCGGTGGTGAGGAACCGCACGGTGCTCGCCTGCTGCGCTGGCTGGAGCGGCCCCCGCTGCACCGAGGGTAGGGGGTGGCAGAGGCACGGTGGCACCGTGGTCCCCTGCACGCCGGGCTTAGCAGGCAGCAGGGGGGCATCGCAGTGCCACGGGGACGAGCTGCATCCCTCTGCCGCAGGGGAAGGCTCGCTGGGGCACTGCTACGCCGGGTGGCAGTGCCAGGACGCGCCGGGTGCCCGCAACCTCTCCGCCGTGAGCATGGCCGAGTGCTGCCACCAGCCCTGGGGGCACAGCTGGAGGAACGCCTCCTCGGCGCTCTGCTTCGCCTGCGCCCACCAGCCCCTCGCCGGTGGGTCTGGGGGCCCTGAGCTGCAGGGGGACGAGCGCGGGGCTCTGCCAGGCATGTGCTGAGTGGTGCTCGCCCCCCCGGCACAGGAGATGTGCCCCTGCCCGCAGCTCCGCGGGGTTCGGTGGCACGGCACCGGCGTCCTGCCGCCAGCTGCCTCGCCTGGGGTGGCTCCCGGTACCGCAGCTTCGACGGGAGGCACTTCCACTTCCAGGGCGAGTGTGCCTACAGCCTGGCTGCCTCCGCAGATGGCACCTGGGCTGTCACCATCACCATGGGCAGCCCGCAGGTACCGGCCACCCCCGGGGCTGCACGCGACGGGGAGATGTGCACGGGTGGATGGAGAGGGTGGCTGGGGTTAGCCCTGGATTGTCACCCCGGGGGCAGAGGTTCCATCCCCGCTTTGTGCCACGATATCCGTGGCTGCTGGGTCCCTGCCGTGCCCCCCTTGTCCCCCTGCTCACGGCCTCTGTCCCGCAGGTGCTGCACATGACATTTGGGCTGGACACGGTGGTGGCACGGGGCCGGAACGTCTCCGTGAACGGCGTGGTGGTGCCGGAGGGACAGCCCCACTTGCACGGCGGTGAGGGGCAGCTGGGTTCTCCTGTCCCCATGCGGCACCGCTGCTGGGGACCTGGTGCCTTGTGGCACGAGGTGCTGCAGGGGGACAGTGCCAGCTCAGGGGGGCCACGTGCAGCAGAGCCCCACCGGGTCCCCTCCTCATCCCTGTGCCCTCCTGACCCTGATTTTGTCCTCGCAGGGATCAGCATCACCTGGCTCGGGGACTTTGTGGCCGTGGAGAGCGGGCTGGGCGTGCGCGTGAAGGCGGACGGGCGCGGGACGACCTACGTGACGGTCAGCGCCGAGCTTTGGGGCAGCACACGGGGGCTCTGCGGCCCCTACAACGACGACCCCACTGGTAAGGCCGGCCCCTCGCTGGCACCCTGCAGGGCGCAGCAGTGGCAGTCCCAGGGGTGGCCGTGCCGAGGACGGGTGGTGCATCCGTGGCATCCCTTGCCCGCAGATGACTTCCTGCGGGTCGGAGGGGACGTGGCCCCGTTTGCTGCCAGCTTTGGGAACTCCTGGAGGATCCCCGATGCCAGCTCCGAGGTACCGGGGATGGGCAGAGCTGGGAAATGGAGTGGATGTGGCCGAGCAGAGCGGGGCACCGTGCCCAGCACCCAGCTGGGCTCTTTGGGGCTGTCACCTCAACCCCATTCCCAACAGCGGGGTGCTGGGGGGTCCCTCATGGGTTTGCCCCCACTCTGATGCCCCCCACCCGGGCACAGCTCTCTTGTAGGGACGCGGTGGAGCCCGGCCCAGGCTGTGCAGCAGGCAGTGCAGCACGGCGGGCGGCTGAGGCTGTCTGCGGGGAGCTGCTCGCCGAGCCCTTCAGCCAGTGCCACGGCGCGGTGAGTGGCACCGGCTCCGCGGGGCTGGGGGCGCACGGCCCCGCCGCCCTGACGCCGCCTCCTGCACCAGGTCGAGCCCCACGGCTTCTACGAGGCCTGCCTGGATGTGCACTGCCGGGAGGGGGGCGCGGGACCCTCACCACCCCCTGCCGTCTGCGACACCTTTGCGGGCTACGTGCGGGACTGCGCCCAGCGGCAAGCCTACATCGACTGGCGCCGACCGGGCTTCTGCGGTAGGGATGTGCCGGGGGATGCTCGGGTCCCCAGCCCCTTTTTCTCCCCTTACCCTGCTGTGTGCTGCCAGCACCCACGGAGCTCGTGGGCACCCTGATGGGGTATGCATGCACCCTGGTGAGGTGTGTATGCGCCCTGGTGGCTCGCGCTTGCCCCTGTCCCCCATGGCCCCCTTGCCCAGGGCAGCACCCCTCCAAAGGGAGCTGCATTTGGCCAAGTGAATCCCATTCCCTGACCCTTTCCTCCATCCCTCTGTGGTCTGGGGTGCTGGGGGGAGCGGTGCTGCTGCCTCGGAGCTGAACCCACAGCCGGGTGGCTTGGCTGGGTGGGTGGGTGGGGGGCTTGGTGGGATGGATGTGGTGGGACACGGTGGGACGTGGTGGGATACAGTGGGACGTGGTGGGACGGATGCAGTGGGATGTATTGGGATGTACTGGGATGCGTTGGGATGTGTTGGGATGTGTTGGGATGTGGCTGAGCTGCTCCCCGGTGCCCCGCAGAGCGGCAGTGTGGCCATGGGCAGCGATATTCGGACTGCGTGTCCTCCTGCCCCGCCAGCTGCATGACCGCGGGTGCTACCGAGGAGGGGCACTGCCGGGACGACTGCACCAGCGGCTGCGAGTGCGCCCCGGGGCTGTACATGGCCGGGGGGGGCTGCGTCCCCCAGAGCGCCTGCCCCTGCCTCCACGGCCGCCAGCAGTACGCCCCGGGGCAGAGCATCCGCCAGCGCTGCAACCGGTGGTGAGTGCTGGGGAGGGCAGAAAGGGGGAAAAAACAGTGTGTGTGGGGGGCACACGGTGTCCCCTGCACCGTTCCTGTCCCCGCAGCACGTGCCAGGGGGGCCGCTGGCTCTGCACCCAGGACCGGTGCGCGGCGGAGTGCGCGGTGCTGGGGGACCTGCACTATGTCACCTTCGACCAGCGGCGCTTCTCCTTCCCGGGCGCCTGCGAGTACATCCTGGTGCAGGTCAGGATCCAGGGGGTTTGGGGAGGGGGTGCACGGTGAGGGGGGGTGCTCAGCGTGCTCTCTGCCCACAGGACTTCGTGGAGGGGACGCTGCTGATCACGGCGGAGCAGGAGGCGTGTGGCGGCCGCCAGCCCCTCAGCTGCCTCCGGGTGCTCTCCGTCACCGTGCAGGGCGCCTCGGCACGGCTGCGCAGCACAGGTGACACAGGGCGGGGGGCAAAGAGGTGACAGGCAGTGGCTGGGGGGGCTCCACGCACCCACACATCCCCTCTTTGCTCTCCCCGTGCAGGCGAGGTGGAGGTGAACGGGCGGGAGGTGCCGCTGCCCTTCACCAGCGCCGCGCTGACGGTGCGCCGAGCGTCCTCCTCCTTCCTGCTGCTCCAAGCCTTTGGCACCCACGTGCTGTGGGGGCTGGAGACCCCTGCGGCGTACATCACCCTCCAGCCTGTCTTCGCCAACAAGGTGAGCCCCTCTGGGTGCCACTACCCCCCTTGCACCCTCGCCAGGCACCCAGACCGTGCCCGAGCGCTGTGCCCGTGCCGCAGGTGCGGGGTCTCTGCGGCACCTACAACTGGGACCAGGGGGATGAGTTCGCCACGCCGGCAGGGGACGTGGAGGTCGGCGTCGCCGCCTTCGCCAACAAGTACCGGGTGTCCAGCGCCTGCCCCGTGCTCGGCCCCGTCCCCTTCGAGCCCTGCAGCACCTACGCCCCGCGCCGGGACCTCGCGGCCACCGCCTGTGCCATCCTGCACGGCGCGTCCTTCCAGGTGCCGAGCAGCCCCGCGCCTGGCCAGGAGCCGTCATCGCGGTGTACACGGTCTGATGTGTCCCCTCCTGTCCCCAGCCCTGCCACCACCTCGTGGACAGGGAGCCCTTCCACCAGCTCTGCCTCTACGATGTGTGCGCCTGCCCGGCCAGCAAGCAGTGCCTGTGCCCAGCGCTGGCTGCCTACGCACGGCAGTGCGCCCAGGAGGGAGCGGTCCTGTCCTGGAGGAACCAGAGCTTCTGTGGTGCGGGGTGGGGTGGGATGGGATGGGATGGGATGGGATGGGATGGGATGGGATGGGGATGGGATGGGATGGGATGGGATGAATGGGGATGGGGATGGGATGGGGATGGGATTAATGGGATTAATGGGATTAATGGGATTAATGGGATTAATGGGATTAATGGGATGGGTGGCAGTGCAGGGCAGGGCAGGGTGTCTGCCTTCAGTCACTGCACCTTATCCGTCCCTGCAGGTGCACAGTGCGGCGGGGGCCAGGTCTTCCAGGAGTGCAGCAGCCCCTGCGGCAGGACCTGCGCCGACCTGCGCCTGGACGGGGCCGGCTCCTGCCCCGAGCTCGACGGCCTCTGCGTCTCCGGCTGCAACTGCCCCGAGGGGCTGGTGCTGGATGACGGCGGGCAGTGTGTCCCCAAGGACGTCTGTCCCTGCCGGCACGGTGGCGAGCTCTACCCAGCGGGCAGCAAGATCCGGCAGGGCTGCAACGCCTGGTGCGTGCCGCGGGGACCCCGGGCTCTGTGTCCCCAGGCTCCGGTGTCATCGGGGGGCGATGGGCTGCCCCAGGGGACAGCCTGTGGGGACGTGGTGGCAGCAGGGACCGGACGGGGACAGGCTGGTGCCGGAGGTGTGAGGTGGTGGCAGGAGACACCTGATGAAATCACCCTATGGCCTGTTTGTGACGGTGCGGCAGGATAGGTGGGTTTCATTGAATGTCCCTGCCACGTGGCGCCGGTGTCACCTCTGAAGACGCTGTCCTCAGACCCCTGCTGGGGCTGGGGACCGGGCTCCAGGCTCCAGCTGCCCTCCTGGGGCTAAGGACAAGCCCATAGCCGTGTGGGGACCTGGGTGCTGCTGGAGGCCACCTCCCTTTGCGAGCAGCATTTTGGGGGGCCCCAGGGGCGCTGGGCATGCTGTGGACCCCAGCATGGGGCTGGCTGGGGGAGTCCCATCCATCCCACCCACCCCATACTCCCCGAGGTCAATAACCCACACAGGGGTGCCAGCCCTCACCACAGCCCCCCCTGCCCACCCCAGCGTCTGCGCCGCGGGCTCCTGGAGCTGCACCGATGCCCCCTGCCCCGAGGCCGCCTTCTGCCCCGGGGATCTGGTCTACGCCGTCGGGTCCTGCCTGCGCACCTGCGACAGCACCGAGCCCAACGGGACCTGCCCGGGGCTTGCTGACGGCTGCGTCTGCCCCCCAGGCACCGTCTTCCTGGTGGGTGCCCCCCCAGCTCTGCTGCCCTTGTGGGTGGGCACCAGGAGGGGTTGGGCACTGGGGACTGGGAGGCTCAGGGATGGGGAACTGGGGGCACTGGGGAGGTGGTTGGGGGAGGTGGGATGTTGGGGAGTGGGGTGCAGGGGATGTGGGGTGCCGGGGAGCTGGGGAATTTGAGGCATTGGGGAATTTGGTCTTGAGGACACGGGGCACTGGAGAGTTGGGCTCTTAGGGGCTGGAGAGGGCCCTGGGGGGCAGCAGGAGCCGGGCATTTCCCAACCCATCTGTTGGCACCCGTGCCCGGGTGTCCCCACGCATCACCCGGGGTGGGCTCGCACGGCTCTGATGCCCGCAGGACGAGCGCTGCGTGCCCCCGGAGGAGTGTCCGTGCCAGCACAACGGGCGGCTCTACCAGCCCAACGACACCATCGTCCGGGACTGCAACACCTGGTGAGCCCCAGCCCAGCACCGCGGCGCGGAGCTGCCACGGTCCCCGCGCTCAGCTCCATGCCCCCAGCGTGTGCCGGCGGCAGCGGTGGCGGTGCGGCAGCGAGGACTGCGCGGGAACCTGCGTGGCCACGGGGGACCCCCACTACATCACCTTTGACGGGAAGGCCTTCTCCTTCCTGGGGGACTGCGAGTACGTGCTGGTGCGCGAGGCCGGCGGGCTCTTCGCCGTCACCGCCGAGAACGTGCCCTGCGGCTCCAGCGGCGTCACCTGCACCAAGTCGGTGGTGGTGGCGCTGGGCAACACCGTGGTGCACATGCTGCGAGGTGAGGGGCGGCCCCGTGCTGCAGGAGGGGTGGATGCAGGGTGTGGGGGGGGACACGGCCGCCCTCACAGCCCCGCTGCCCCGCAGGGAGGGACGTGACAGTGAACGGGGTCTCGGTGCGGCCCCCCAAAACCTACAGCGGGAGCGGGCTGACGCTGCAGCGCGCCGGCCTCTTCCTGCTCCTGCTGTCCCGCCTGGGGCTGACGGTGCTCTGGGATGGAGGTGAGACCCGGGGGGGACGCAGGACGCCGTGTGGGGACATGTAGCAGCCCCCAGTTTGCCTGGAGCCGTGCCCCATCCCGTCCCCAGGCACGCGGGTGTACGTCCGGCTGCACCCGCAGCACCGGGGCCGCGTGGCCGGGCTCTGCGGGAACTTTGACCGCGATGCAGAGAACGACCTGGCCAGCCGGCAGGGCGTGCTGGAGCCCACCGCCGAGCTCTTCGGCAACTCCTGGCGCGTCAGCCTGCTCTGCCCCGAGGTGGACGGCGCGGACACGCAGCACCCCTGCACCGTACGGAGCGGGACGGGATGGAGACGCCCGCTGCGGGTGGCTGGTGGAGGGAGGGAAGGATGCTCAGGGGTGATGGTGTGGGGAGGGGGGCTCCTTCCCGTGGTGGTGATAGCTGCCCCCCAGGAGAACCCGCACCGGGCAACGTGGGCCCGCAAGCGCTGCAGCGTCCTCACGCAGCGGCTCTTTGCGCCCTGCCACGAGGAGGTGCCGTGCCAGCGCTTCTACGACTGGTGTGTCTTCGATGCCTGCGGGTAGGTGCTGGGCCACAGACACCCCCTGGGAGGGGGTCCCGAGCCCCCCTGTGCCTGTCCCCACCGCAGCACCACCCCGCTGTGCCCTTTCGGCAGCTGTGACTCCGGGGGGGACTGCGAGTGCCTGTGCACGGCCATCGCCACCTACGCCGAGGAGTGCGGCCAGCGCGGTGTCCACATCCGATGGAGGAGCCAGGACCTGTGCCGTGAGTCCCCGTCCCCAGTGCCAGGGATGGGTTGGGGGGTCCGGGCTGGGGGTCCTGCTCGCCCCAGGGCTGGCAGGATACAGCCCCGTGACCCCCCTGCCTCCGCAGCCCTGCAGTGTGACGGGGGGCAGGAGTACAGCGCCTGCGGCCCCCCCTGCCCCCAGACCTGCCAAAACTTCGGCCTGGAGCTGCCCGAGCACTGCGACACCATGTCGTGCCTGGAGGGCTGCTTCTGCCCCGAGGGGAAGGTGCTGCACGGTGAGTGTGGGGCTGCTGTGGGGCTGCCGTGGGGATGGCCCACGCCGTGCTCACCAACACCTCTCTGTCTTGGGGCAGAGGGCAGCTGCATCGACCCCGCCGAGTGCCCGTGTGTCTGGGAGGGCATCTCCTTCCCACCCGGTGCCGGGGTGCAGCAGGGCTGCAAGAACTGGTGAGTGGGGTGCGGGTGGGGTGTCTCCATCCCTGGTGCCACCGCGGCAGCACCGGGTACGGAGCAGGCACGCGGGCACCACGCACCAGGACTGAGCCCCGGCCACCCCGCAGCACGTGCGCGGCCGGGCTGTGGCAATGCGCGCCCACCGCCCAGCCCTGCCCGCCCCAGCCCCGCTGCCCCGACTCGGAGTTCCCGTGCCGCACCAGCGGGCGCTGCGTGCCAGGAGCCTGGCTCTGCGACAACGAGGACGACTGCGGGGACGGCTCGGATGAAGTCTGCGCCCCGCGCTGCGCCCCCCACCAGCACCGCTGCGCTGGGGGGCAGTGCGTGCCCTGGGGCGCCCGCTGCGACGGCGTGCCCGACTGCACCGACGGCTCCGACGAGCGTGGCTGCCCCCCGCCCGCCTGCGCCCCCCCGGAGTTCCGCTGCGCCAGCGGCCGCTGCATCCCCCGGGCACGTGTCTGCGACGGGGAGCTGGACTGCGGCTTCGCCGACGACTCGGATGAGGCAGGTGAGCGGCCCCAGCACGCTGCGGATGGCTCCGCATGTTCCCGTGCCCCGTGGTGAGGGTGCCCCAACGCCCCTGTCCCTGAGGGGGGGGTCCTTGCCCCATGGTGGGGGTCTGCCCGCTGTCACCGCAGGCTGCAGCCCAACCTGCGGCACCGGGGAGTTCCGCTGCGCAGCAGGGCGCTGCGTACCCTACCCGCACCGCTGCGACGGGCACGACGACTGCGGGGACTTCAGTGACGAGCGGGACTGCGTCTGCCCCGCCGGCCGCTTCCAGTGCCCCGACGGCCTCTGCCTGCCCCTAGCTGCTGTCTGCGATGGGACGGAGGACTGCACGGCTGGCACGGACGAGGCGTTCTGCCCAGGTGAGGGAACGTGGCCGTGCCGCCCGTGGGGATGAGCCCACCGTGGTGGCATCACCCCTGGGGACTGTCCCCTTCCCTGCAGGCCGGGTGACCTGTGCCCCAGGACAGCTCCCGTGCCCCGACGGCTCGTGCATGGGCCAGGCAAAGCTCTGTGACGGCGTCTGGGACTGCAGGGACGGCTGGGACGAGAGCCCCGCACGCTGCATCGTGTCCTGGGCCACTCCTGTGCCTGCCCAGCTGCCCACGGCGCCTGCCAACGGCACAGCAGGTGAGGGACATGCGTGTCCCCTGCACCGTGCTATGTCCTTGTGTCTGGGGGGCTCACCAGGAGCACCCCACTTGTGGCTGGGACGGAGAGGCCAGGGCAGCCCCCTGCAGCTCCGGGGGTGACGCGTGGGGACGCTGCACGGGGTCCCTGCTCACTGTGGCACCCCGGGGTGACACCTCCAGCTCCCGCCTGTGGTCCCTACGAGTTCCCGTGCCAGAGCGGGGAGTGCACGCCGCGGGGCTGGCTGTGCGACAGCGAGGCCGACTGCCTGGACGGCAGCGACGAGCTGGGCTGCAACCGGAGCTGCGGGCTGGGGCAATTCCCCTGCGCCCTGGGCGCCCACTGCATCCCCCACGGCCACCTCTGCGACGGCGTCCCCCACTGCCCCGACCACTCCGACGAGAGCGCCGACACCTGCGGTGAGGCACCGCGGGTCCCCAAGGGTCCCCGTCCCCTGGGACACCCTCTGGGGGGGGGCAGCGAGGATCTGCACCCCCCCGGGGTCCCCAGAGCGGTGCAGGGGATCCATCCCAGTGCGGTGACACCTTGTGGGGTTGTGTCCTTGGCGCAGGCTCTACCCAGATCCCGCCGTGCCCGGGCCACTTTGTGTGCAACGACCGCGTGTGCGTGAACGCGTCCAGGGTGTGCGACGGCAGCCTCGACTGTCCCCAGGGCGAGGACGAGCTGGCCTGCGGTGAGGGAAGGGGGGGGTGGGAGGTGTATTGGGGCTGGGGGGCCCCGTGAGTGCTCACAGCCCTGTCCCTGTCACAGAGGGCCACGTCCCCACCGAGGGGAGGAACCGGACGGGGGGTCCCTGCACTGAGTACGCCTGTGGGGACGGCGAGTGCATCGCCTTCAAGCAGGTACGGCCACGGGACAGGGACCCCCCCTTCATGCCCTGTGCCGTGGTGGGGTCCCCATGGGGTCCTCCCCATTGCCCTGACGGGGGGGCTCAGCATCGCCGCGCACCGCAGGTCTGCAACGGGCTGCCCGACTGCGGGGACGGGGACGCGGCCTTGGGCTGGGTGCCCTCGGATGAGAGGGACTGCGGGCACTGGGGGCCCTGGGCACCCTGGGGTGCCTGCAGCCGCTCCTGCGGCCCCGGCCAGCAGCTGCGTGCGAGGGGCTGCAGCCAGCAGGGCCCCGATGTGCTGCACCAGTGCCACGGCGAGGCCACGCAGGCACGGCCCTGCTTCAGCACTGCCTGCCCCGGTGAGCGGGCAAGGGGCTGCGCGTGGGGCGGGGGGGCTGGGGGGTCCCTGTGGCTGGGGTGCCTGGGGGATCTGGGGGTTTCCGTGGCTGGGGATGCCCAGGGGGTCTGGGGGTTCCCGTGTCCATGGCTGCTGGGGACACCCAGGGGGTTCCCAGTGCACAGGGGATCTGGGGGGGGGGTCCCACAGCCAGAGCTGCCCAAGGGACTGGGGGGGCTCCCACAGCCAGCACTGCTTGGGGAGGGGGCTTCCCATGGCTGCAGCTACCCAAGGAACTTGGGGATCCCCATGACCTGGGCTGCCCGGGTGATTTGGGGGCTGCTTGGTGTGCCCAGCGGGGTTCCCACAGCCAGGGCTGCCTGGGGGGAGGCTGTGGAGGAGGGGTCCTAAATCTGGGGCTGCCCGGGGGGGGCTGCCTGCCCTCACCCCTCCCTCTGCCCACAGTGGACGGCGCTTGGAGCGAGTGGGCGACCTGGTCCAACTGCACGGGGGGCTGTGAGGGGGTGGTGGTGCGCCAGCGGCACTGCCTGCCCCCCCGGGACGGGGGCCAGCCCTGCGCCGCGCTGCCCGCCACGGCCCCCGCCACCCTGGAGATAGGTGGGTGACCCCCCCCTGAGCCCCCAGCTCCTCCTGCCGGGGGCTCCCACAGCCCTGACCCCGCTTCTCCACCCCAGGCCCGTGCCAGCAGGACGGGTGCCCCCCCACCGTCTGCCCTGGGGGGCTGCAGCACCGTCCCTGCGCCCCCTGCCCCGCGTCCTGCGCCGACCTCGCCAGCCGTGCGCAGTGCCCCCGGGAGCAGCCGTGCACCACAGGTGAGTCTGGGGGCCACAGGGTGGCACCGACCCCTGGCCACCAGCCCCCTCCCCAGCCATGCCGCGACCTCCTGGGCTCAGGGGTCTCCATGGTGGGTGCCCACCCACCCACCCGCCGCCCTCCCGCAGGGTGCTGGTGCCCGGAGGGCCTCGTGCTGGATGGCGAGCGGGGCTGCGTGCGCCCACGGGAGTGCCGCTGCGAGGTGGAGGGGCTGCGCTACTGGCCGGGGCAGCGCGTGAAGCTCAACTGCCGCCTCTGCATCTGCCTGGATGGGCAGCCCCGGCGCTGCCGACAGAACCCCGCCTGCACCGGTGCGCCCTGCGCCGCACCCCACCTTGGGGAGGGTGCTGGGACCCCCTTCTCACCCCCCCATCTGTGCCCGCAGTGAGCTGCAGCTGGTCCCCTTGGTCACCCTGGGGCGAGTGCCTGGGTCCCTGCGGCGTGCAGAGCATCCAGTGGTCCTTCCGCAGCCCCAGCCACCCCGGCACGCGTGGGGCTGGCCGGCAGTGCCGTGGCATCTACCGCAAAGCACGCAGGTGAGGCCACGGTGAACGGGCACGGGGAGGGTGGTGGCAGCAGCAGGTCCCCTCCACGTCCCCTCCCGCAGGTGCCAGACGGAGCCGTGCCAGGCGTGCGAGCACCAGGGCCGCTCCCGTGCGCTCGGGGAGCGCTGGCGCTCGGGGCCCTGCCGCGTCTGCCAGTGCCTGCCCAGCCCCCAGGTGCGGTGCTCGCCCTACTGCCCACACAGCGCCGGGGGCTGCCCGCAGGTGAGGGTCCCGGGGGGAGCTGCGCCGGGCTCGCCGGGCAGGGGAGGGGCGCAGCGGTGGCACCGTGGTGCTGGTGGTGACGGGGTCCCCTCGTGCAGGGCCAGGTGCTGGTGGAGGGCCAAGGGGATTCCTGCTGCTTCTGCGCCTGGCCAGGTGAGCCCGGGGCTTGGGGGCACAGGGGGGGGCACAGCCCCATGTTCCTCAGGGTGCTGTTCGGAGGCCGGGCTGTATTCCCCCCGGGTGCCCACCAGGAGCTGGGTGCCGCACGGTGTCTGTCCCCGCTGCAGGTGGCAATGTGACGGCCGTCCCCACGGGACTGACGACGGAGCCCACCCCCTCCAGCGTGCCATCAGAGCCCCCCAGCAGCCCGCTGGCCACCTTCCCACTGCCTCCCCCGGGCGGTATGTGAGACCCCCGCTCACACAGCGTGTCCCCTTGGGGACCAGCCCTGCGGTGTCACCCAGGAGGGGCTGACCCCAGTCTGCTCCCCCCAACCCCGTTCCCGCTGCCTGCAGACCCCTGCTACAGCCCCCTGGGCATCGCCTCCCTGCCCGACAGCAGCTTCAGCGCCTCGGCCTCGCAGGAGGGGCACCCGGCCCCCGCTGGCCGCCTGCATCACGTCTCCCCGGGGCAGGAGCTGCAGGGCTGGGCCCCCCCGGCCGACATCTTCCCTGGGCTGCCCTCGCAGCCGCCCTTCCTGCAGCTGGACCTGCTGCAGCCCACCAACCTCACCGGTGGGTGCTGCGTGGCACCGGCACCGCTGCCCCGGGCACTGCGCCGGCACCGGTGCCACCGTGTGCCACGTCTCTGCCTCCAGGGGTGGTGCTGCAGGGGGCAGGTGCCGGCGACGCCTTCGTCACCGCCTTCCAGCTGCAGCTCAGCACCGACGGGACGCGCTGGCACGACTACCGACAGGTCTCCGCCGGCAGCCAGCCGGAGCCCAAGGTGCTGCCTGTGCCTGGTGTGTGTGTGAGGGTGTGAATGTGCACGGGGGGGGCTGAACGGAGCTTGTTCAGCTGCCCCCAGAGTGGCTCTGAGTGTCCCCTTTTGGCCAGGGATGCGGTGACCCCGTGTCACCTCCCCTCCACCTTTGGCACGCACCCACGCGAATGCGCAGGGCTGGATGTGGGGTGCTGGAACACGGGGGGCGTGCATGGGGGTGCACCCCCCCACTCCCAGCCCTGCACCCCCGCTCTCCCCGCAGCTCTTCCAGGGTAACTGGGATGCCGTCACGCCGGTGGTGCGGCCACTGGGGCGCATGGTGCAGGCGCAGCACGTGCGCATCCTCCCGCGCCGCTTCCACAACCGCATCGTCCTCCGCGCCGAGCTGCTGGGCTGCCCGCCAGGTACCGCAGCCATTGGGGGGGGGTCCGTGGGGGTTCCCCCCGCTGCCAGGACCCCCCGCTCACCTCTCCCCCTCCCCAAAGTGGCCCCTGCCCCGGTCGGGGCGACGCCGACCCCACCGCCCTGCGGCGCGGGCGAGTTGTGGTGCGGGGACAGCTGCGTGGGGGCATCCCGGAGGTGCGACGGCGTCGCCGACTGTGCCGGGGGTGCCGACGAGGCCGGCTGCAAGCCCCCCCCCACCGCGGTGCCCACCCGTCCTGCCAGGTACCCGCACTGCTGGGGTCCCCTCGGAGCCTGCGCCCCCACCGGAGCTGGGGTTTGGGGTGCAGGACCCCTCACTGCCCGGCTCTGTTCCTTGCAGCCCCCCGGCCCCCGCCAGCGCTGGCATCCTGGTGAGCCCTGGGGATGGGGGGGGACGAGACGGGGTGCAGGGGGTGGCAGCAGGTGACACTCCTGTCCCCATGCACAGGGGACATCGGGGACAGGAGCTGGGCTGCTCACTGCCAAGCCCCCCATGGAGCCCCCCAGTGCAACCAGCACCGGACCCCCCATTGCCGCTGTGCTGGGACCAGTAATGAGCAGGCCACCACCTGTCCCCGCCACCACGGTGTCCCCTGGGGGGCCACCCCCTGCCAGCCCCCCAGTACCGGGTATGGCCGCTGTGACCGTCACCCCCCCTGCCACGGGACTGCCTGCTCTGCCCGCGCCCCCCACCGGGGTCCCCACCCCGACAGCGGCAGGTAAGGGGGCACTGCTCAGCGCCAGCCCTGGGGGGGGCACACACAACCTCCCCCTCCCCTGGCACCGCAGGGGGACACGGGTGTCCCTGGGGCAATGTGGGGACAGCTCCCCGCCTTGCTGCTGGGGGGGCTGTGGGGCTGGGGGATGCCATGGGGGCAGGGGTCCTGTAGGGTCAGGAGGATGTAGGGTCAGGGTGTGCCATGGGGTGGGTGCCACGGGGCCGGGCGTTTATGGGGCAGGAGGTGTGAGCCCAGAGGTGCCCCCAGGAGTGGGCACAGCCCCTGGGCTCCCCCCCAGTCCCTTGTGTCCCCCCCCCCAGAGCGGCTCCTGCCCCGGCTCCTGTGCCCCGAGGACCAGTTCCCCTGCGATGTCCTGGGCTGTGTGGATGCCACCATGGTTTGTGACGGGCGGCCCGACTGCCTGGACGGCTCGGACGAGGTGCACTGCGGTGAGCCCCCCGCTGCCCCCCCCCAGAACCCACACGGAGAGGTCCTGGGGGTGTCGAGCCCCCCGGCCCTGCCTGCGACCCCCGGCTGAGCTCTGACCCCTGCCCGCCCCACAGGAACTCCCCCCGCCTCCAACAGCCCCCCAGCCCCCCTGGTGTGGCCCCCCGGGCCCCCCCCCACCTGCTCCCCCAAGCAGTTCTCCTGTGGCACCGGTGAGTGCCTGGCCCTGGCCAAGCGCTGCGACCTGCACCGGGACTGCGCCGACGGCACCGATGAGAGCGGCTGCGGTGCGGGGGAACGGGGGGGTGGGGGTGTGTGGGGTGGGATGGGATGGGATGGGGATGGGGATGGGGATGGGGATGGGGATGGGGATGGGGATGGGATTAATGGGATGGGATGGGGATGGGATGGGGATGGGATGGGATTAATGGGATTAATGGGATTAATGGGATGGGATGGGGATGGGGATGGGGATGGGGATGGGGATGGGGATGGGGATGGGGATGGGGATGGGGATGGGGATGGGGATGGGATGGGGATGGGGATGGGGTTGGGATGGGGATGGGGATGGGATGGCGATGAGGACAAGGAAGGGGATAGGGACAGGGACAGGGACATTGATGGGGCTGGGGACTGGGATGTGGGCAGGAATGGGGAAGGGGTCTCCCTTCATCCCAGAGCACCCTGTGCCTGGCCAGCTCCAGCCCTCTGCCCCTTTGGGGACCCCAGGACACCCCAAGTCCGGTGACACTGGGCTTGGGGCACCAAGCAGGGCTGAGCATTGGCTCTGTCCCCATGAGACCCCCGTGGGGACAAACCCCAGGTGTGGGGAGGGTCCGGGGCAGCCCTGACCCCGCTCTGTCCCCACCAGTTGACTGCATCCTGTCCCCGTGGGGGGGCTGGAGTGAGTGCAGCCGCTCCTGCGGGCTGGGGGTCACCGCCCGGCAGCGGGTCCTGCTGCGGGGCGCCCTGCCGGGGGGCTCCTGCCCGCGCCCCCACCTCGACGCCCGCTCCTGCTTCCTGCGCGCCTGCCCAGGTACCAGCCCCCACAGGACCCACGCTGCTGGGGGGGCTCTGTCCTGGGGGCATTGTGGTGGTGGGCACCGTGGTGGGGCACGTTGCACCCCGTAGGGATGGGAGTGCCCGCAGTGCCCCCATCCCGCTGCCCCCCCCAGTGCCCGGTGGCTGGGCTGCGTGGGGCGCCTGGTCCCCCTGCGACGCCGAGTGCCAGGGAGGGGTGCGGAGCCGCAGCCGGAGGTGCACCGACCCCCCGCCCAAGAACGGGGGCCAGCCCTGCCCCGGGGAGGCCCTGCAGAGCCAGCCCTGCAACCTGCAGCCCTGCGGGGACACCACAGGTAGGGGACGGGGGGACAGCAGGAGGGGGACACGGAGTTAGGGGGGGTGATGGGGACACTGCTGGGGCGTGTGGATGTGTGCTGCGGGCAGGGGGGCACGGGGCAGCACCCACCCTCACAGCATCCCCTGTCCCCCCAGACTGCGGCCCCAGGATGGTGCTGGTGCGGGCAGAGGATTGCGCACGGGGCCTGGTGCCCCCCTGTCCCCAAGCCTGTGGGGACCTGAGTGCCACCGCGAGCTGCCAGAGCCCCTGCCAGGAGGGTGAGTGGGGGGCCGGGGTGGCACAGGGTGCGCATGGGGGTGGCACAGAGGTGGCACGGGGGTGGCACGGGGTGCGCATGGGGGTGGCACAGGGGTGGCACGGGGGTGGCACGGGGTGCCGGTGAGGGCACAACGGGGCTGAGCCGGTGCCTCCGGGCAGGCTGCCGGTGCCCGCCGGGGCTCTTCCTGCAGGAGGGCACCTGCGTCAACGCCAGCCAGTGCCACTGTCACCTGGGCCAGCAGCGCTGGCTGCCCGGCCACATCTTCCTGCGGGACAACTGCAGCCAGTGGTGAGCGGCAGCGCCGTGCCCCCTGCCCTGTCCCCATGCCCGGGGACACCCCGCACGCTGCCCGGTGGCTGCTTCTTGTCCCCGTCCCCATGGCTGAGCCCCGCTTCTGTCCCCAGCGTGTGCCAGGACGGGGCGGTGACATGCGAGGAGCTGCCCTGTCCCATCCCCTGCGGCTGGTCCGCCTGGTCGCCGTGGACCCCCTGTGACCGCAGCTGCGGCGTGGGGACGCAGGAGAGGTTCAGGTGTGGGGCTGGGGAGGGGGGCCCAGCCCCACGGTGCTTGGTGAGGACGGGGACCAACACAACACCGTGCCCACAGGTCCCCTTCCAACCCTGCCTCGGCCCACGGCGGAGCCCCCTGCGACGGGGACGCCCGGGAGGTGCGCGAGTGCCACACGCCCTGCGCCCCCGGTACGTGCACCCCCAAGTCCCAGCGATGTGGGGGCTGCTGCGGGGACCCCCAGCACCCCGGGGACAGGAGGGCAGCCGTCCCCTCTGCTTACACCACCCCCGGTGGGGGTGACGCGGGGGCTGCTCCGGTGCCACGCGTGCGTCTGTCCCCGCAGAGCCCAGCAGCGGCTGGAGCGCCTGGACCCCTTGGTCCCCCTGCTCCCGGAGCTGCTTCCACCACGTGGACCACCGTGGGAGGCGGCGGCGATTCCGGCACTGCGAGGGGCTGGGGGGCACCTGCCCGGGGCTGGGGGTGCAGGAGGAGCCCTGCGACACGGCCCCCTGCCCGGGTGAGCGCCCTGGACAGCTTGGGGCACGCTGAGGGTGCGGGGGGCTGCTGGTGGCACCAGGGGCATGGGTCTGGGGGAGGCTGAACCCGCTGGGGAGCCCCTGCTGCAGGTGGGGGTCCCGGGATGTTTGGTGAGGGGGGGTCACGAGCCCGTCTCCCCGCAGTGGCAGGTGTCTGGATGCCCTGGTCCTCCTGGTCCGAGTGCTCGGCTCCCTGCGACGCCGGCGTGCAGACGCGCAGCCGGGCCTGCACCCCCCCTGCCTTTGGGGGGGCCGAATGCGAGGGCCCCCTCCTCCAAACCCGCGACTGCAACCCCCAGCCCTGCGGAGGTGCGTGCACGGCGGGATGCGGGGCTTTAGCTCCGGGGGGAGCTGATACCGAGCCCTGCTGCCCGCTGTCCCCGCAGCGCAGTGCCCCGGCACCATGCGGTACCTCACGGCCGAGGAGTGCCGGAGCCGGGGGGGGCCCTGCCCGCGGCTGTGCCGGGACCTGGAGCCCGGCGTGGTGTGTGCCGTGCGCTGCCAGCCCGGCTGCCACTGCCCCGCCGGGCTCCTGCTGCAGGACGGGAGCTGCGTGCCACCCGAACGCTGCCCCTGCCACCACCGCGGCCACCTCTACCAGCCCGGTGACACCGCCGGCCTCGACGCCTGCAACAACTGGTGGGGGTCACACCGGGGATGGAGTCTGGGAGGGGTCCTGGGGGGCCCAGCGCTGCTTTCCGCCCCCCCCTCTTTGCTCACATCCCCTCTCGTGCAGCACCTGCGTGGCCGGGGAGATGGTGTGCGGCACGGAGCCCTGCCCAGGTACCAACCCAGCGGGGGCCACGGGGGTGAGGGGGGGGTCCCGGTGCCTCCTGGTGCTGGGGGCTGAGGGTGGGGGGGGTGCAACGAGTCCCCAAAACCCCCCCAGTGCCCTGTGGCTGGAGCAGCTGGACGGCCTGGAGCTCCTGCAGCCGCAGCTGCGACGTGGGGACGCGGCGGCGCTACCGGGTCCCTGGGGTGCCCCCCCCGGCCAAGGGGGGCCCCCCCTGCCAGGGACCCAGCATGGAGGTGGAATTCTGCAGCCTGCAGCCCTGCCGGGGTGAGCAGCCCCCGGCACCCAGGACCCTGGGGTGGGGGGTCCCCAGGGGGGTGCCATGGGGAGGGGGTCCCCTTTGGGGTGTCCCCTTTGGGGTGTCCCCAGGGGGGTGTCCCTGGGAAGGGTGCCATGGGGTGGGTGTCCCCAGGGGGGTGTCCCTGGGGAGGTGCCATGGGGAAGGTGTCCCCTTTGGGGTATCCCCTTTGGGGTGTCCCCAGGGGGTTGTCCCTGGGGAGGGTGTCCCAGGGATGTGTGCCCCCCCCCGGGTGGGTGTTTTGGGGTGGGTGTCCCTTGTGTGGGTGTCTTCGGTGTTGATGTCCCTGGGGTGTCCCTGGGGTGGGTGCCCCTGGGGGGATGCCCTCAGGGTTGGTGCTACCGGGTGGGTGTCCCTTGGGGTGGGTGTCCCTTGGGGTGGGTGTCCCTGGGGTGACTTCTCCTGGGTGGGTACTCCTAGAGAGGACACCCCCCAGGACACTTGTCCATGGGATGGGTGCCCCAGGTGGGTGTCTCCTGGGGGTGTCCCTGTTGGGGGGTGCTCCCCGGGGGGGGGGGGGAGTACGGGACCGGGCAGCACCCTGAGCCTCCCCCACGTGCGCAGGGGCAGTGGCGCCGTGGGGGCCGTGGTCGGGGTGCTCGGTGCCTTGCGGGGGCGGCTACAGGAACCGCACGCGGGGGGGCTCCCCACTGCGCGGCCTCGAGTTCAGCACCTGCAACCCCGCGCCCTGCCCTGGTGAGCCCCGTCTGTCCGTCCGTCTGTCCGTCTGTCCGTCTGTCCGTCCACCCCAGCACCCCACCCTCATGTCACTTGTCACCCCACCCCGTGCTGCGGCACACCCCGGCGCACCCCGGCGCACCCCACAGGCGTTGTGGGGGCGCAGAGCCGTGTCCCCCCACCCTGCCACCACCCCCCACACCGTGACACCCCCCCACAGTGCTGGGGGGCGCTCAGGGGGTGTCTGTGCCCCCCCTTCCAGGTGAGGAGCCGGGTGTCTGCCCCCCCGGCAAGCAGTGGCAGCCGTGCGCCCACGTCCCGGCCTCGTGCGCGGAGCTGAGCGCGGCCCCCGCGGCCGGTGGGCGCTGCCACCCCGGCTGCTCCTGCCCCCCGGGGGCCCTGCTGCTGGTGAGAGGGGACGGGGAGGTGGGGATGGGGTTGGTGGGGACCCCCCCAACGCCATATCCCGGTGCCACATCCTACAGAACGACGAGTGCGTGGCGGAGGAGGAATGTCCCTGTGCCACGGACGGCGCGCTCTACATGCCCGGGGACACCGTGCCCCGGGGCTGCCAGAACTGGTCAGTGCCCATTTGGGGGGGGGGTCCCGGCTGCTGCTGCCCCCCACAAACCTTCACCCTCTGTCCCCAGCTCCTGCATCGCCGGCCGGGTCACCAACTGCTCCCAGGTGGCTTGTGGTGACGGTAAGACCCCCGCCAGCCCCTGCCGTGTCCCCCGCGCGTGGGGTGGCTTCGGGGACAGCCCCAACCCTGCCCTGGTGGCCCTCTGGGGACACGTCCCTGCTGTCCCCTGAGGCTGGTGGCACTTGGAGGGGTGTTCCCCAAAATGGAGGGGTGTGCCCAAAATGAGGGGATGTGCCCAAAATGGAGGGATGTGCCCAAAAGGGAAGGTCTGCCCCAAAGTGGAGGGGCGGGGTAATCTGTCCCCAAAAGGGAGGGATGTGCCCCAAATTTGGGGGAGATGTATCCCAAACTGGGGGAGAGGGGGGAATCTACCCCAAAAGGGAGGGATATTCCCCAAAAAGGAGGGATGTGCCCAAAATGGAGGGATGTGCCCAAAAGGGAAGGTCTGCCCCAAAATTGAGGGGAGGGGAGAATCTGTCCTCAAAAGGGAGGGATGTGCCCCAAACTGAGGGGGAGGGGGGAATCTGCCCCAAAAAGGAAGAATGTGCCCCAAAATGGGGACACCTGCCCTGAGGCGAGCTCCGGGCTGCACCAGCGTCCCCAAACCTCCTGGGGCCCACTCTGATGCCCCCTACCCGGGGCAGAGGGTGAGCCCCAGACCCCCTGGACCCCCTGGACCCCCTGGAGCGAGTGCTCGGCCTCCTGCGGGCCGGGCCAGCAGCGCCGCTACCGCTTCTGCGCCCCGCACCCCGGGGCACCCTGCTCCGAGCCACAGTCCCAGGAGCACCCCTGCCTCCTGCAGCCCTGTGCCTGTGAGTAGCCCCCTGGGGGGCTGGGGTCCTTGGGGGGCCATGCCGGGTGCTGAGCAGCCCCCCCGTGCCACAGGGCCGGGCGGCTGGAGCCCCTGGAGCCCCTGGAGCGGCTGCAGCCGGAGCTGCGGAGCCGGCGTGCGCAGCCGGAGCCGTGCCTGCTCCAACCCCACACCCCAGGGCCACGGAGACTTCTGCGAGGGCCCCCCCGTGCAGCTGGAGCCCTGCGGCACCCAGGAGTGCCCCGGTGAGCTGGGGGGCCGGGGGGACGTGGGGGACACGGGGGTGTCCCGTGCTGATGTCCCCATCCTGCTGCAGCTCCCGACTGCGCCGCGGTGCCGGGCTCGGTGTTCAGCCCCTGCGGCCCCCCCTGTCCCCGCTCCTGTGATGACATCTCGGTGAGCCCTGACCCCCCCACCCAACATCCCCCGAGCCCCCCAACCCTGCTGGTGTCCCCAGCCCCCTGACCTCTGCGGGTCCCAGCACTGTGCCTGGCGCTGCCAGCCCGGCTGCTACTGCACCGGGGGCGCGCTGCTGGACGCGGCGGGCACGGCGTGCGTGGCCCCCGAGAACTGCTCCTGCCTCGACCTCCGCACCGGGCAGCGGCACCGGCCCGGCCACAGCGAGCCCCGAGGGGACGGCTGCAACAACTGGTCAGCGGGGATGGGATGGGATGGGGTGGCGGGGGCACCCGAGGGGCCCGACTGCCCCGTCCCGTCCCCATCCCCATCCCATCCCATCCCCATCCCCATCCCCATTCCCATCCCCATCCCATCCCCATCCCATCCCATCCCATCCCATCCCATCCCATCCCATCCCCATCCCCATCCCCATTCCCATCCCCATCCCCATCCCATCCCATCCCATCCCATCCCATCCCATCCCATCCCATCCCATCCCATCCCATCCCATTAATCCCATTAATCCCATCCCATCCCCATCACTGCTCTACCCCACAGCACCTGCACCCGAGGGAAGCTGCTCTGCACCGGCGTGCCCTGCCCTGGTGGGTGCCCCACACGGGGCGAGGGATGGGGATGGGGCTGTCCCCACCTGAGGGACACCACAAACACCCCCCCCCGCACCCCGCAGTGCCTGGCAGCTGGTGCGAGTGGTCCCCGTGGACGCCGTGCTCGAGAACGTGCGGTGAGGAGAGCTCCACGCGGCACCGTGCCTGCTCCTGCCCCACACCACAGCAGGGGGGTCCGGGCTGCCCCGGGGGGCAGGAGGGGCTCGGGGCTGCCGGGACCCAGCTGCAGCGCAAGGAGTGCCCCAACGCCCCCCCATGCCCTGGTGGGTATCGGGGCGGGGGGCACGAGGGGCGCAGTTTGGGGTGACCCCGTGGCTCAGCGCCCACCTCCCTCTCTCCTGTTTGCAGAGGACGGGGTCTGGGGTGCCTGGGGGCCGTGGTCACCGTGTGGGGGCTGTGGGGGGCTGGCTCTGCGCACCCGCTCCTGCTCCGGACCCCCGGCACGCTCCGGTGGCCGGCCCTGTGCCGGCGAGGCGCGACAGAGCCGGCCCTGCCCGCGGGGTGCCACCGGCTGCCAAGGTGAGTCCACACGGCACCAGGGGCCACAGACCCCTCCCCAAAACCCCCTCCACCCCCTGCCTGGACCCCTGCGCGGTGGGGCCATGCGTGCCCCATCCCCGGCCCCCTTGGACGTGCCCGCTGCCCGCAGGGTGCGGCGGGGACCTGGTGGCCCTGTCCTGCGGCAAGCCTTGTCCCCGCTCCTGCTCGGACCTGCGGGAGGACACGGCCTGCCTGGACGGACCCCGCTGCCAGCCCGCCTGCGCCTGCCCCCCCGGCCGCCTGCTGCAGGACGGTGCCTGCGTCCCCCCCGAGCGCTGCCGCTGCCCACGGGGTGCGGGGATCGGGTGGAAAAGGAGGGAGGGCGCTGGGTGCCCCTGGATGGTGGGGGTGGGTGCGGGGTGCACGGGGTGGCAGGGAGGGGGTACAGGGTGTAATAGGGTGTGGGGGTGGGTGTAGGGTGCTGGGGGGTTCTTGGGATGGGGTACAGGGCATAATAGGGTGGTGGGGATGGGGTGCAGGGTGCTGTGGGGTGGCAAGGATGGGGTACAGGGTGTTAATGGGGTGGCAGGGGCACAGGAACAGGGATATGCCAAGGACACAGGGATGGCACAAGAGGTGCTGGGCAGGGTGGGGCTGGGGGCAAAGGTTGCGCCTCCCCCGCAGGGACCCCTGAGGAGGGGAACTGGGACGGGGCCGACCCCGAGCAGGAGCTGCAGCCGGGTGAGACCTTGCAGAGACCCTGCCAGAACTGGTGAGTGCCCCCGACCCCACACCCAGCCCATGGGGAAGAACCCCACGGGGCCATCCCGCTGCATGGGGGTGGCACGTGAGGAGCCCCCCAACCAGCCCTGACCCCTGTCCCCGTCCCCCTATCCCCCAGCACGTGTGAGGCCGGGGCGCTGCGGTGCCGTGCCGACCCCGAGTGCCGCGTGGACGGGGGCTGGAGCCCGTGGGGGCCCTGGTCCCGCTGCTCCCCCGGCTGCAGTGCGGGCACCCAGACATCCTCCCGGCACTGCAGCAACCCCGCACCGCAGCACGGGGGCCGGGGATGCCCCGGGCACAGCCAGCGCCAGCGGCCCTGCCCTGCCACCGAGGGGTGCCCAGGTGGGGACAGCGGCACGGCCGGGGGGCACGGGGCACGTGGGGTGGGTGATCGGGGGCATGGGGTGCACGGGGTGCATGGGGTGGGTGCATGGGGTGTACAGGATGGTATAGGGTGTGCAGGGTGGCATGGGGAGGGGATGCCTGTAGGATGGTGTGTGGCACGATGTGGTGCCCTGCTGGGGGGTGCAGTGCCGTGCCATGCAGTGCTGTGTGGTGCTGTGCCATGCAGCACGGTGCCGTGCCGTGCCGTGCCATGCAGTGTGGTGCTGTGCAGTGCCGTGCCATGCAGCACGGGGCTGTGCAGTGCCATGCTGTGCAGTTTGGTGCAGTGCCGTGCCGTGCCATGCCATGAGCTGCTGGTCTTTGCCCCGTGGAGCTGCGTGGCACAGCGTGGTGCAGTGCAGTGCCGCATGGTGCAGTGCCACATGGTGCAGTGCCACATGGTGCAGTGCAGTGAGGTGTGGGTGATCCAACTGGGGCAGCACAGGTCCTGCCCAGGGCTCTTTCCCCACGGGGTGTGGGTGCTGGTGCCACCGTGGGTGCTGGTCACAACCCTCGGGGTCCCCCCGTGCCCCACGTTGCTTCCCCTGTGCTGCAGAAGAGGAGCCGTGGGGCGAGTGGTCCCCGTGGGGGCCCTGCAGCGTCTCCTGCGGTGGGGGCGAGCAGCTCCGCCGGCGGGACTGCCCCCCTCCAGGGGGGTGCCCGGGGCTGGCCCTACAGAGCAAGACCTGCAACACCCACGTGTGTCGGGGTGAGTGCCCTGCCCTGCCCAGGGGTCCTCGGGGTGGCACGGAGGGGATGGAGCAGTGTGGTGTGGGGGCTGGGGGTGGAGTTGTGTGGGGTGCGTAGGGTGGTGCGGGGTCCTTGGGGTGGCATTAATGGGAAGGGGTGGCACAGGGTGGATAGAGGGGCACAAGATGTCACAGGGTGTCACGGGGTCCTTGGGGAGGCACAGAATGGGTGGTGTGGCATGGGGTGGATGGAGGGGTACGGGGTGGCACACGGGGTTCTTGGGGTGACACGGGGTGGATGGGGTGGCAAGGGGTCTATGGAGGGGCACAGGGTGGCACATGGGGTTCTCGGGGTGGCATTAATTGGAAGGTGTGGCAAGGGGCGGATGGAGGGACATGGGGTGGCACAGGGTGGCACAGGGTCCTTGGGGTGGCATGAATTCAGTGGAGTGTCATGGGGTGGATGGAGGCACATGGGGTGGCACAGGGTGTCATGGGGTCCTTGGAGTGGCATTAATTGGAAGGGGTGACACAACGTGGATGGAGGGACATGGGGTGGCACATGGGGTCCTTGGGCTGGCACGGGGTGGATGGAGGGGCACGGGATGGCACCCCCAAACCACGTCCCTGCACACGAGCCGGGGCTGCGGCTGCTGGTGGGGTGGGGAGGGCGCAGGGGCTCCAGGACCCCCATGGCACAGCCGCCCTCACCCCCGTCCCCACGCAGAGGCGGGCTGCCCGGGGGGGCGGCTGTACCGCGAGTGCCAGCAGGGCGAGGGCTGCCCCTACAGCTGCGCCCACCTCGCCGGCCGCATCGCCTGCTTCCCCGGGGGGTGCCAGGAGGGCTGCCACTGCCCCGCCGGCACCCTGCTGCACCACGGGCAGTGCCTGCAGGTCAGTGCCCACCCCCCCTCCCCACACCCAGGGGTCCCGTGCCCCTTCCCCTCCCCTAAAAGCCCCTGGCTGCATCCCCTGTGCTGCCTGCGCACCCATGGGTGCCTCGTGGTGTGGGTTTCTCCGGCTCCCCCTGCTCCTGGGGTGGTCGTGGAGTGGGTGCACAGGGCTCTGGGTGCCCCCCGGTGCCATGGGGGCTCCCTGGGGCTGCGGGCACGATGCCGATGCCCTGTGCAGGAGTGTCCCTGCGTGCTGACGGCCGAGGTCCTGCGGGAGCTCCAGAACAGCTCCGCGGACCCCCAGGAGACCCCTACCCTCCTGGGCACCCAGGGGCCGCCCCTGACGCTGGACCAGGAGGTGCCCCCCGGCAGCACCCTGCACTCCTCCTGCACCACCTGGTGAGCGCCGGGGGACCCCTCCCCATGCACCCTGCTCCCTTCCCCGTCCCCATCCCCATCCCAACCCCTTCCCCTGCCCCATCCCAGTCTCACCCAGCCCCTTCTCGCCCAGCACCTGCCTCCACGGCCGGCTGAACTGCTCGCAGCCCCTGTGCCCGCGGGACGGGGGCTTCGCACCCTGGGGCCCCTGGAGCAGCTGCTCACGGAGCTGCGGGGGCCTGGGGGTGAGGACGCGGCAGAGGGGCTGCACCAACCCCCCCCCTGCCCGGGGGGGCCGCGACTGCGCCGGGCCCCGCTCCGACAGCAAGTACTGCCAGAGCCCCGAGTGCCCGGGTGGGTCACAGCCCCCTCCCCTTGCCCTGACGGTGGTCCGGCTGCCCCACGGGGACCGGACCCATGTGGGCACAGGGCTGGGGGTGCGGGGGTGTCACCGCCTGCTCTGCTCCCTGCAGCCGTGGCCGCCCCCACGAAGGAGCCCAGCCCCGGTGTCCCAGGTGAGGGCTGTGCCATGGGGGGGGGTCTCGCCCTGGGCATGGTGGGGGCCCCTTCATGGAGCTCCCACCCTGCCTGGGGGGGGCTTCTTGGAGCCTTGTGCTCCTGGCAAGCCCTGGCCCTGCTCCCAACCCCCCCCCCCCCCGTCCTGGGCAGGTGCTGAGGAAGAGGAGGGCTTCGGCCCCTGGTCCCCCTGGAGCCCCTGCTCCAAAACCTGCACCCGCCCCGAGCGCCCGGCCACCAAGAGCCGCGAGCGCCTCTGCAGCGGGGCCACCAACTGCAGCGGGGAGAGCTTCCAGGAGCAGCCCTGCAACCTGCCCCACTGCTCAGGTGGGGCCGGGGCCGTGCCCCCCTGCCCGGGGGCCGGGCACCATCCCCTGCGCCCCTGCCCAGCACCCAGCGGCGCAGCCACGGGTGGTGCCATGCCCCTTGTCCCCATGTCCCCACAGATGCCCCCCCGTGCCAGGGCGAGGACTGTGCCGGCCTGAACTGCTCATGGACGCTGTGGGGGCCGTGGGCCGAGTGCTCCCGCAGCTGTGGTGTGGGGGTGCAGCAGCGCCTGCGTGCCTACAGCCCCCCCGGCACGGGGGGCCGATGGTGCCCGGGCATCCTCAGCGCCTACGTGCAGCGACGCTTCTGCAACCTCCAGGCTTGTAAAGGTGGGAGGGGGGGTCCCCAGCACCCCAGGGAGGGTCCCCAGCACCCCAGGAAGGGTCCCCAGCACCCTGGGGGCTTTGCCTGGCCCTGGCTGGGCACCAGCCCCCATGGAACCTGATGGGTTTGATGCCCACCCCCTCGTGTGTCCCCCCCCCTGTGGCAGTGGATGGCGCCTGGTCTGCCTGGAGCCCCTGGTCCCGCTGTGACAGGACGTGTGGGGGGGGCCGCGCCGTGCGCTCCCGCTCCTGCACCCGTCCCCCCCCCAAGAACGGGGGGCAGCGCTGCCCGGGAGAGCGGCACCACCTGCGGCTCTGCAACCCCCAGCCCTGCGGTATGGAGACGGGGGGGACGGGGACGGGGATGGGGACAGGGATGGGGTCCCTGGTGCTGTGCTGATGGGTGCCCCCCTCCCAGGGGCCAGCTGCCCCCCCGGCATGGCCCTGGTGCCTTGTGCCAACCGCTGCCCGCGGCGCTGCGAGGACCTGCAGGAGGGCATCGCCTGCGGGGACGAGGAGCGCTGCGAGCCCGGCTGCCGCTGCCCCAACGGTGAGTGCTGGACTTGGGGGGGTGCCGGGGGGCAGAGCCTGGGGCCCCCAAGGTCTGTGGGGTGCCCAAGGTCTGTGGGGTGCCCCCGCACTGATGCCACCCACCCGCAGGCATGCTGGAGCAGGACAGGGGCTGCGTGCCCCCCGCGCACTGCGAGTGCACCGACGCCCAGGGCCACGGCTGGGTGCCGGGCAGCACCCACCACGACGGCTGCAACAACTGCACGTGCCGGGGGGGCCGCCTGCACTGCACCCACCGCCCCTGCCTGCCGCCCCCCTGCTCCTGGAGCCGCTGGTCCCGCTGGGCCCCCTGCAGCGTCACCTGTGGGGATGGCCAGCAGACGCGCTTCAGGTGGGGACGCGGCCCCCGGGACCCCGCAAGGTGGTGTCGGGGGGCTGCCACCCACGCGTTTTGCCCCCCCCGGCTTTGTCCCCCAGCAGGACCCCCACATCAGGCTCGTGGGATGAGGAGTGCCAAGGGGAGCACGCGGAGAGCCGGGGCTGCGCCGAGGGGCCCTGCCCGCCCCTGTGCCCCCAGGAGGGCTGGGAGAGGCGGCTGGGGGACACGTGGAGGCAGGGCGAGTGCCAGCAGTGGTCAGTGTCCTCGTGGGCAGGGGTCTGGGAGGGGATGGGGCTGCTCCTGCACGAGCTGCCCCGTGGGTACCCCCTGCCCCATGGGCACCCCCTGTCCCTTGGGCACCCCCTGTCCCTTGGGAACCCCTTGCCCATGGGCACCCCCTACCCCATGGGCACCCCCTGTCCCATGGGCACCCCCTTCCCCCATGGTACCCCCTGTCTTGTAGGCACCCTCTGCTCCATGGGCACCCCATGTTCTGTGGGCACCCCCTGCCCCATGGACACCCCCTGCCCCATGGACACCCCATACCCCATGGACACCCTGTACCCCACGGGCACCCCCTTCCCCCATGGCACCCACCCTCCCTGTCCCCTCCCACAGCACCTGCACCCCGGAGGGCACGGTCTGCAGGGACACCCCCTGTGCCGGTGAGTTCTGCGCACCCCTGGGCGCAAAGCCCCAGCCCCCTGCCAGCCTCCCGGGGCCAGGCGGGGGGCGGAGGGGACGGAGGGACACGGTGCCCCGTGACGTGCCACCTCGCCATCCCAGGGCCCGAGCAGTGCACGTGGGGCGCGTGGAGCCCCTGTTCCCAGACCTGTGGCACCGGCCTGGCCACCCGGGAGGGTTCCTGCCCTTGCCCAACCCCCGGGACCCCCGGTGCCCCCTGCAACGACAGCGCCGGGGCTGGTGCCAGCCTGCGCCGGGAGCTGGAGGCTTGCTACCTGCAGCCCTGCCCAGGTAGGGGGGCGGGCAGGGGCAGGGGGCGGTGGGCTCGTCCCCAGCCCTCACCTTTGTCCCCTCTCTGCCCCAGACGAGTGTTCCTGGAGCCCCTGGAGCCCCTGGAGCCCCTGTTCCTGCAGCTCCCCGCTGCAGCACCGGCACCGGCACCGGCACGGCCCCGGCACCTGCGTGGGGCTGGACGGGGAGCTCCGCGACTGCGACACCTCGGGGTGCTCGGGTGAGGAGGGGGCTGCTGGGGACCCTCCTGTGCTGGCACTGCCTGGTGCCGTCACCCTCCCCAAACCTTCCTGTCCCTGCCTCCTGCCCTTCCCCTGCCCGTCCTGGTGCCTCCGGGAGTGTCCGAAATGTCTCCTCTCCCCGCAGACACCAGCTGTGAGCCCCCCTTCGAGTTCCAGCCCTGCGCCCCCCCCTGTGCCCGGCTCTGCTCCTCCCTGCAGCGCCCACAGCTCTGCCCGGCCCTGCCCCGCTGCCTGCCCGGCTGCTTCTGCCCCCAGGCAAGGGCAGGAAGGGGTGGCCGGGATGGGTTTTGTGGGGTGGGGGCCACCCGGGTGGGCTCTGTGGGGTCAGGGAGGGCTTGGGAAGAGCCTGGTGCCCACAGGGAGCCCTGGGTGCAAATGGATGGCTGAGGGGACACTGCGGGGACATTGTGGGGACTTTGTGGGGATGCTGCATGGGGATGCTGATGGCACACCCCATGTGCCCCCCTCTACATCCCCCTGTCCGGGCAGGGGCTGCTGGAGCAGCGCGGAGCCTGCGTGCCCCCCGAGCAGTGCGACTGCCTGCACACCAACGGCACCGGCGGCTCCGTGGCCCTGCCTGCGGGGAGCAGCGTCCTGCTGGGCTGCAAGAAGTGGTGAGAGGGGGCTGCTGAGGGGTTGGGGGTCGCCCCCACACATGGGGGGCCAGGGGTGCCAGGGGCTCACCACTGTTTCCTCGTAGCGTGTGCCAGGACGGGGCCCTGCGGTGCAGCAGCGAGGGCTGCCAGGGTGAGTGTGCCCCCCGATACTGGGACGGGACCCCCAGCCCCATGGGCTGTGCATGTGGTCCCATATCCCCTGTGGGGCACTCCAGGGGCTCCCAGCCCCCCAGCAGCTCCGTGTCCCCGCAGGGCTGCTCCCGCTGAGCCCCTGGTCGGAGTGGGGACCCTGCGGCCCCTGCCTGCCCCTGCCCACGCCGCTCCTGCCCCAGCCCGAGGAGGCTCCGGGGGACCTCGTGCCCCAGGTTTCGCTGCAGCACCGCTACCGAGCCTGCCTGGACCCCGAAACCGGCCTGCCCTGGGCTGGCGATGTGGCTGCTTGCACGGCGGAGCTGCGCCAGGAACGGCTCTGCCCCGACCCCCACGTGTGCCAAGGTACCGGGGGTGCTGCGGGGTGAGGGGCTGAGGGGTCCCCGCTGCAGGTGGGTGACGCCCTCGTCCCGCAGAGCTCTGCCTCTGGAGCCCCTGGGGGCCCTGGGGGCCCTGCCAGCAGCCCTGCAGCGGGGGACACCGCCTGCGGCACCGCCACCGCCAGAACCCTGAGGGCAGCGGGCACTGCCCGGGGGCATGGTCCCAGAGCGAGAGCTGCAACACTGCCGTCTGCCCAGGTAATGCCCCCATCCCATCCCAACCCATTAATCCCATTAATCCCATCCCCATCCCCATCCCCATCCCCATCCCATCCCATCCCCATCCCCATCCCCATCCCCATCCCCATCCCATCCCATCCCCATCCCCATCCCATCCCATCCCCATCCCATCCCCATCCCATCCCCATCCCCATCCCCATCCCATCCCATCCCCACCCCCATCCCCATCCCATCCCATCCCCATCCCATCCCCATCCCATCCCCATCCCATCCCATCCCCATCCCCATCCCCATCCCCATCCCCATCCCATCCTATCCCATCCCATCCCATCCCCAGACCCCCACCCATCCGGGGGCTGCCCCCAGCTGCCCCCCAGCCCCCTGCTGCTGCCCCCAGGGGAGGTGTGCGAGGACCGGGGCAAGGCGCCCGCCGCCCCCTGTGCCAACGGCTGCCCCCGCGCCTGCGCCGACCTCTGGCCCCATGTGGAGTGTGTGCAGGGGGGCTGCAAGCCAGGTACAGCCCCCCCACCCACACCTCCCTGCACCCTTCCCGCTGGGTGCTCGCAGCACCCATGGGTGCACGGCTCCTCCTGTCCCTGCAGGGTGCCGGTGCCCCCCAGGGCAGCTGCTGCAGGATGGGGCGTGCGTGCCCATCGCCCAATGTCGCTGCGGGCTGCCCGGGGCCAACAGCAGCCAGGAGGTCTGGCCAGGGGAGGTGGCCGAGGTGGAGTGCCACAACTGGTGGGTGCTGGGGGGCAGGGGACAGCAGGGGGGGGCACCGGACGCCCTGTCCTTGAGCTCGGGGCCCCCTCCTCACACAGCCCCTCTCCCGTTTCAGCACCTGTGTGAACGGGACCTTGGCGTGCCCGGTGCTGCCGTGCCCATCCTACGGGCCCTGGGCTGCCTGGAGCCCCTGCTCCAGCAGCTGTGGGGGCGGCCGCACCTCCCGGCACCGCTCCTGCCTGCCGAGCCCCGGGGGGGTGCCCTGCACGGACACCGGCACCCAGGAGACCGCCGAGTGCAGCCCCCAGCCCTGCCCCGGTGAGCGCCCACCAGCACCCCCGGCATCGCCACCGGCACTGGCAGGGCTTGGCACGGTTTTGGGGTGGTGCTGACCCCCTTCTGCCCCCCACAGCCGGCTGCCAGCTGAGCCCCTGGTCCCCCTGGAGCCCCTGCAGTGCCAGCTGTGGAGGGGGCAGCTCGGAGAGGCGCCGGGAGCTGCAGGGAGGCGAGGAGGAGCTGTGCCCGCTCCCGGTGCTGCGGCAGCTCCGCATCTGCAACGCCCACAACTGCACGCCGGGTAGGGCAGCCCCAGCGTGGGCACCCCACGGAGGGTCCCAGGGGCCTGGGGGCGGTGGGATCTGCCCACCCCCACTGACTCCAGCCCCCACCTGTGCCCCGCAGGGTGTCCCCACAGCCAGGTGTACGGGGACTGCGCCAACGCCTGCCCCCGCTCCTGCGCCCACCTCCGCCCGGGGACGCAGTGCCTGCAGCAGCCCTGCCAGCCCGGCTGCTCCTGCCCTCACGGACAGGTGGGGCCGTGCCGCAGCCCCCAGGGGCACGGGGGACGTGGGTTTGGGTCGGGGCAGCGGCCTCAGGGTCCCCCCTCACCCGCAGGTGCTGCAGGACAGGTGCCTGCGTGCCCCCCGAGCGGTGCCGCTGCGTGCTGACCCCCGCCGTGCCCTGGGCACTCAACCTCTCCAAGGAGGAGCAGGAGCAGGAGCACGCGCCGGGCAGCCTCCTGCGGCACCGCTGCAACAGCTGGTGGGTGCCCCCCGCCCCACAAAACCCCCCCAGACCCACTATGCCAGGGTCCGGGTGGGCTCTGAGCCGCGCTCTGTCCCCAGCATCTGTGTCCGCGGCACCTTCAACTGCTCCCAGGAGGACTGCAGTGGTGAGAGAACTCCCTCCATCCCTGTCCCCGTGCCCTGTGCCGTGGTCCCCAGTGCCACAGCCGGGCCCTGCTCGTGTGTCCCCCCCCCCGCAGTGGACTGCCTGTGGTCCCCGTGGTCCCCCTGGTCCCCCTGCTCGGTGACGTGCGGGGCGGGCGAGCGGCTCTCCCGCAGGCACCCCCTCCGGCAGCGCCTCTACGAGGGGGCAGAGTGCCTGGGGCCCCCCCTGCGCCGGGCTCCCTGCAGCCTCCCCGACTGCGGTGAGTGCCCCCAAATGTCCCAGGGAGGTGGCTGGGGACGGGACAAGGCACCACGGTGGGTCCGTTTATGGGGACGTTGCTCCACGAGGTCTCACCCAGCCCTGGGGACACCGGGGGGGCAGCGAGGGAAGGGGCAGAGCTGTCACCCGTGGGATGCCAGCCCCAGAGAGGGCTACAGCAGCGCTGGCAGTGCCCAAGCACCCCGCTGGGTTCGTTTGCCACCGGCTGAGCCACCCCTGGTTGCCACATGCCCGAGGGCACGGCCGGTGCGTGGCCGGTGCCGGTGACGTGCCCTGCACCACCCCCAGCCTGCCCGGAGGGTGAGCGCTGGCAGGACCCCGGGGTGCAGGGCCCCGGGGTGCCCCCCATCTGCGATCAGAGCTGCACGGACATCCCCGGTGAGACCCCCCCTGGCTGCAGCACTGACCCCAGCCCCCGGCTGCGCCTGCGAGCCCGGCCGCTACCGCAACAGCAGCGGCCGCTGCGTGCCCACTGCGCTCTGCGAGTGCCTGCACCGGGGGCAAATCCACGAGGTGAGCGGGGCCACGGCCACCAGCGGGTACCTGGGGATGCCTGGGGGAGCCTGGGGGAGCCCGGGGACCCCCCCACCTTGCTGTGCTCACCCTCTTCCTCCTCCCCAGCCCGGCAGCGAGTGGCAGGAGGAGTGCGCGAGGTGCCGCTGCGTGGAGGGCAGGGCTGCCTGCACAGACGGCTGCCCCCCGCTCTCCTGCCCCGAGGTACAGCCCCAGCCCCCCCTGCTGCCCCCCAGCAGCCCCCCAGCTGCCCCCCCTGGGGCTCAGGGAGATGCTGATGTTGCTGTCTCTGCAGGGCGAGGTGAAGGTGAAGGAGCCAGGACGCTGCTGCCCCGTCTGCAGGATGGAGTGGCCAGGTAAGGGTCCTCCCAGAGACCCCCCCAGGCTCTGCCCCAAATCTTGGGACCCCCCCACCCACATGGGGCTGGCCAGGTGGCCACGGGGGTGCTACAGCTCTGCCTCCCCCCCCCTCCTTGCAGAGGAGCCATCCTCCATGTGCAGGCTCTTCACTGAGCTGCGCAACATCACCAAGGGGCCCTGCTCCCTGCCCGGGGTGCAGGTCAGCTTCTGCAGCGGGCACTGCCGCTCCCGCACCGCCGTCACCCCCGAGGTGAGACCCCCCCTCCATCCCCTACCCTCGCCCCCCCTCGTGGTGCCGGGGGTCTCGTGGTGCCGGGGGTCTCGGGGTGCCGGGGGTCTTGTGGTGCCGGGGGTCTCATGGCACTGGGGGTCTCAGGGTACCAGGGGTCTCAGGGTGCTGGGGGTCTTGGGGTGCCGGGGGTCTTGTGGTGCCGGGGGTATCAGGGTGCCGGGGTTCTCATGGTGACAGAGGTCTCATGGCACTGGGGTCTCGGGGTGCCGGGGGTCTCATGGTGCCGGGGGTCTCGTGGCACTGGGGGTCTCGGGTTGCCGGGGGTCTCGGGATGCTGGGGGTCTCGTGGCACTGGGGGTCTCGGGGTGCCGGGGGTCTCAGGGTGCTGGGGGTCTCGTGGCACTGGGTGTCTCAGGTTGCCGGGGGTCTCAGGGTGCTGGGGGTCTCGTGGCACTGGGTGTCTCAGGTTGCCGGGGGTCTCGTGGTGCCAGGGGTCTCAGGGTGCTGGGGGTCTCATGGCACTGGGGGTCTCGTGGTGCCAGGAGTCTCATGGAGCTGGGGGTCTTGGGGTGCCGGGGGTCTCGTGGCACCGGGGGTCTCATGGCACTGGGTGACTCAGGGTGCTGGGGGTCTCGTGGTGCTGGGGGGTCTCAGGATGCCAGGGGTCTCGTGGTGCTGGGGGGTCTCAGGGTGCCGGGGGTCTCATGGCACTGGGTGACTCAGGGTGCTGGGGGTCTCAGGGTGCTTGGGGTCTTGGGGTGCCAGGGGTCTCGTGGCACCGGGGGTCTCGTGGTGCTGGGGGTCTCGTGGTGCCGGGGGGCTCTCGTGGTGCGCAGCGCGGTGACGGTGTGGCCGTGCAGGAGCCGTACCTGCAGACGCTGTGCGAGTGCTGCAGCTACCGCCTGGACCCCGCCAGCCCCGTCCGAATCCTCAGCCTGCCCTGCGCCGGGGCACAGCGGAGCCCGTGGTGCTGCCCGTCATCCACAGCTGCGAGTGCAGCAGCTGCCAGGGTGAGCAGGGGCTGGGGGGGCTGGCGCAGGGGTCCTGAGCAGCTCCGGGACCCCCTCACTCCGTCCCCAACCTCTCCTCACCGCCCTGTCCCGCAGGGGGGGATTTCTCCAAGCGCTGATGTCCCCTCCTGGACGCTCCCCTCCTGTGTGTGGTGGTGGTGGAGGACCCCACGGCTCCCCGGTTCCCTGCACCCCCAGCCCAGCAATAAAAGCGCAACACCCGGCTCGCCTCTGCCTTGGTGGGAGTGGGAAATGGGGAGGTGGGAGGGAGCGGGGTGCCTGCAGGGGGGGGTAAATGGGGATGGGGGTGGCTGCAAGGAATGGGGCTGGGGTGCTTGGAGGGCTCCAGAGGGTCCTGAGCACCTCCGAGATCCCCAGGCCCTCCGGGTACCCCCATAGACAATGCCAGGCTCCAAGACCCGGGGGGCCCCCGCCTGGCTGCACGGAGCCCAGCTGGGGGTCGCTGCCTCCCCCCAGGGCAGAGCGGGTACACGGCCACCACCCTCCAGTCTGGGGGTGTTTGGGGGGGGTTAATATGGCAAACCCCTGAGCGCAAATGGGATTTTCAGCATTAATGGTGCTGGGGAACACCAGCCCGGGGCCCCGCCAGCACGGCGCTCGCTGCCCTTCCGTGTGCGGGTCACTGCGAGGTGTTTTCATGCTGATAAAGCAGCCTCGCTTCTTTCATGCCCCTTCAGATAAGGGATTTCCAAGAACTCATTTCTGCGGCTTTGTGTCCAGGGCAGAGATTTGTGGGGACGCACAGTTCAGAGGGCGGGGAGGCGACAGGCTGGGCTTTGCCCCGAAAAATCACTCAGCTTCCCCCCGCTGCTGAAGGGGGAGAAAGAAGCATCTTCCCTCCTTTCCTACAAAACATTCCTGATGGATTTTGATATATATTTTTAAACTTTATTTGTATTTTCCTGCCACAAGCGGCCGGCTGCCAGCCAGCAGCTCTCTCCAGCAGCGTGCCGCCACCGCGGTGTGACTCGAGGGACAAGGAGCTGCCACAGTGCCCACCGCTTTGGGGGCTCAGCCCAGGGGCGCAGGGGGGGCTCCGGCTGCCCACAGCACCGGGCTTTGCTGCTGCACCTCAGCCCAGTCTGGTTTTTTTGGGGGGGATGTCGGGGAGGCAGGGGGACACGGCGCAGAGGCGAGCGCTGCCCTGCTTGCTTCAGGAGCACGGCGAGGTGGCTGCGGGTGCTCCTTGGGGCTGGGGGCAGCAGCACCCGGAGCCGTGCTCCCCCCTCACGTGTGGTGGAGCTGCAGGCACCGGCCCTGGGTGAACGCCTTCCCGCAGCCACCGCACGCCCTGGGCCCCCTGGCAGCCTGCGGGGCCGCGGGGGGCAGTTTTTGGGGAGCGCCGCAGCCCTGCGCCCACCCCGGCTGCGGCCCCTGCTCGGCGTGGGTGCGCTGGTGAGCCAACATGATGCCCTCGTCCCGAAAACGCTTCTCGCAGCCGGCGCACTGGAAGGGTTTGGGCTCCGGCCACGCAGCCGGGGGGACCGGCCCCGCGTCCTGCGGCACCCGCGGGCCCCGGTGGGTGCGCTGGTGGCTCTTGAGGTGCTGCTTCTGGCTGCAGCTCTTGCCGCACTCGCCGCACTTGTAGGGCTTCTCGCCGGTGTGCACCCTCTCGTGGACGGTGAGGGTCTTCTTGTCCTTGAAGTGCTTGGCGCAGCGGGCGCAGGCGAAGGGGCGCTCGCCGGTGTGGATGCGCTGGTGGCTGACCAGGTGGTGCTTCTGGCTGAAGCGCTGCCCGCACTGCGCGCAGGGGAAGGGCTTCTCGCCCGTGTGCACGCGGCGGTGGCTCTGCAGGTGGTGCTTCTGGACGAAGCTCTTCCCGCAGTCGGCACAGCCGAAGGGCTTCTCGCTGCCGTGCACCTTCTGGTGCGACACCAGGATCTGCTTCAGCCGAAAGCTGCTGCCGCACTGCGGGCAGGAGAAGGGCCGCGCCGCCGTGTGCGTCTGCCGGTGCTTCCGCAGGTCCCGGCTCTTGCCGAAGCTCTTCCCGCATTCACCGCAGGCGTGGGGGCGTTTGGGGCCTGGGGGGCCACGGTGAGGCCGGGCTGGTGGCGGTGGCGGCAGGGCTGGGAGGCAGAGCCCGGGGCCGGGGGGCTCCCCTTGCCCCTCGTGGGTTTTCTGGTGGCGCTTGAGGTCCCCCTTGGAGGGAAAGCCCTTCCCGCAGCGCGGGCACTTGAAGGGCCGCTCGCCCGTATGGCTCCTCTCGTGGATGGTCAGCGCCGTGTTGCTCTTGAAGCTCTTGTCACACTCCGGGCACGTGGGCGGCCTCCTCTGCAGCGGGGGGGCCGGGAGGGGCTGGGGGCAGGGGCATCCTGCTGGGCCCCCCCCTCTCCTGCCCGCCTGGCACCGCCGGGGTGTCCGTGGGATGGAGGCTCTGGGTGCCCGTGGCTGCTCCGCGCCTTCCTCCACCTCCTGCCTGGCCCCAGCGTCACCGTCTGCGGGGAGGGCAGCGCGGGTGTCACCCCCGGGGTGGCACAGGGGAGCCCCCACCCCAAGGGAACAGCGTGCGCCCCCTGCCCCAAGCCCCCATCCCGCCGGGCTGATGGGGAGCAGCCCCCCGCAAACAAACCTTACGGGGCGCGCGGGGGCCAGGGGACGGGGCCGTCCCCATGCCTGCCCCCCAGCTCCCCCCCCGCCGGTACCCGCCTGGCCAGGGGGCCGGGTGCCTCCTCCCCGCCGCGGGTTCCTGGTGCCGTCCTGCACTCCGCATCTCCTCCTGCTCCATCTCGCAGATGATTTCGGGCTTGGCGCCGGGGCAGCCTGTGCGGGGCAGACAGAGGGGACCCCTGGCGCGATGCCCCCACCCTGCTGCCAGTCCCACAGCCCCCCCGTGTCCCCCCCCATCTCCTCCTGCTCTGCCCCAGCTGCGTGGCCCTGCGGCGATGCCAGGCAGCCCCTGCCAGCCTGTGCCCATCCCCTCGCTGCCAGCTCTCCTTGCCTTGCCCTCGGCACCACCTCTGCGCTCCTGCTCCTGGCCAGCCTTTCCACCAGGACTGCTGTCCTCAGGACTATAAACCTTTAAGTATAACTAAATCAGCGTCCAGACGTGGAACAGGGGCAGTATCCAGGATCCCAGCTCCACCAGAGGAGAACCATGGATTGGCCCCGGCCCCGCGGCTCCGTCGCGCTCCTCACCCAGCGAGGCGAGCGCCTCGAAGTTCTCCAGCATCACCTCGCGGTACAGCTGCCGCTGCCAGCCCGCCAGCTCTGCCCACTCCTCGGGGGAGAAGTAGATGGCCACGTCCTCGAACGTCACCGGCATCTGCAGCGACAAGCCAGGAGCTCGGCACGCTGCGCCACGCCAACCAAAACCCACGACCCCTGCCGCTGCTGCCCACGGGAGCCGAGCGCGGCCGCAGCACCGGGGAGCAGGGGGCGAAGCAAAGCAGCTCCCTGCCATGATCCTGCCCCAGCCCTGCTTTGCAGGAGCCCTGGGGGCCGTGGGGGCTCCGGTGCCACATCCAGGAGGTGCAGCGGGGTCACTGAGCACCGGTCCCCCAGTCCCCAGCAGCCCTACAAAACGCCACCCGCGCTGCCTCGCCGCCTTCCCCACCGCTGTGCTTGGAGGAAAATTTGGCCCCAGGCATGGCAGGTGGGTGCTGAACGCTCAGAGCAGGGGAAACTCCCACCGGGCGCAGCTCAGGGCCAGGCACCAACATCCCCAGCACAGGACCAGGTCCCAGAGCGCTTCTCACCATTAGGGCATCGCCCTGGGTGCGGGATGCCCCCTGCCCCACAGGAGCAGCACTGGGGACCCAGCCTTTGGGGGGAGCCATTGAGGGACCCAGCCCCTGCGCCCCGTCCCCCTCCCAGCAATTTGCCCCCCCAGGCGAATCCCTCTGCCCTCCATCTGCCACCCCCATCGTCGCTGCCCCAAGCAGGGACAAATTGCAGCAGGGTGGCACCCACGGCCGGTGGGGCCACGGCTGTGCCATGGGCACGGGCAGCCCTGGGGCCGCAGCCCCGTGCACTGCCCGCAGCACAGACATGGGGATCCCGGCCTGTGGCTTCACCCAAACCCCCAGGGGTGGGCGCGGAGTCACGGTGCCAGGGGATGGGAGCATTGCAGGGGCCAGCGGGCGGCTTTACCGTGAGCACCGGTGCAGGCCCCCTCTGCCCCCGACCCCTGCCCGAGCAGCCGCCGCCTGGAGGCTCTCAGCGAGGGGATGGAAGCGCGCCCAGCCATCAGTCCATGCGGGTCGGGAGCTCCGTTTCTGCGGCGAGGCTCGTCCCGTGGGTCAGCCCCAGGGCGCACAGCGACAGACGGCCCCGTGGGTTCTGCCAAACACGAAATTTTGGTTAAGGAACCAAAGGGAAGCGGCACCCGGCCCACCCATCAAGCACTGCACTCCCTGGCGAAACACGGGGGAGTGTGGGTGGTGCTCAGGGGCCAGGAGCCCCCCGTGCAGCGGGATCTGCCCCACTCCCAGCCCCCCACCACAGCCCCATGCCCCTGCCCAGCCCCATCCTGCAGCCCCTACCTGCGCCACCCGCCCAGCATGGCCGTGGGCACGGACAAAGGCAGCCCCAGGAGCCGGGGGCTGCGTCAGCTGCCGGGCCTTGCAGCCACCAGTGCAGCACGGGAGGTGTAGTCCTGCTGCTGCGCACTGCACGGCTCCGTGCGGCACCGCTCGGCTCTGCACGGCTCGGGGATGGATGGCCCAGCCCAGCCCGGTGCGCCTCTGTGCTGCATGGCACGGTGCTGCCTGGCACGGCACAGCTCGGCACGGCCTGGCATGGCACATCCCCATGATGCATGGCACGGCACAGCCTGGCACAGCACAGCCTAGCATGGCACATCTCCGTGACGCACGGCACAGCACAGCTCGGCACAGCCTGGCATGGCACTTTTCCATGATGCATGGCACGGTACAGCCTGGCACAGCACAGCTCGGCACGGCCTGGCACAGCACATCTCCGTGATGCATGGCATGGCACTGCCTGGCACAGCACAGCTTGGCACAGCCTGGCATGGCACATCTCTGTGATGCATGGCATGGTGCTGCCTGGCACTGCACAGCTTGGTACAGCCTCGCATGGCACAGCCTGGCATGGCACATCTCCGTGATGCACAGCACAGTGCTGCCCGGCACAGCACAGCCTGGCATGGCCTGGCACAGCATATCTCCATGATGCATGGCACAGCACAGCTCAGCACAGCCTGGCATGGCATAGCCTTGCATGGCACACCTCTGTGATGCATGGCACAGTACAGCTCAGCACAGCACAGCCTGGCACAGCACATCTCTGTGATGCATGGCATGGCACTGCCCGGCACAGCACAACTTGGCACAGCCTGGCATGGCACTTCTCCGTGATGCATGGCACGGTGCTGCCCAGCACAGCACAGCTTGGAATGGCCTGGCACGGCACAGCCTGGCACAGTATATCTCTGTGAAGCATGGCACGGTGCTGCCTGGCACAGCACAGCTTTGCACAGCCTGGCATGGCACATCTCCGTGATGCACAGCACAGTGCTGCCCGGCACAGCACAGCTCGGCATGGCCTGGCACAGCACAGCCTGGCATGGCACTTCTCCGTGATGCATGTCACAGTACAGCCTGGCACAGCACATCTCTGTGATGCATGGTATGGCACTGCCCGGCACAGCACAACTTGGCACAGCCTGGCACGGCACTGCCTGGCACAGCACATCTCTGTGATGCACAGCACAGTGCTGCCTGGCACAGCACAGCTCGGCACAGCCTGGCATGGCACACCTCAATGACACATGGCACAGTGCTGCCTGGCACAGCGCAGCTTGGAATGGCCTGGCATGGCACAGCCTGGCATGGCACTTCTCCATGATGCATGGCACAGCACAGCTCGGCACGGCCTGGCACGGCACTGCCTGGCATGGCACATCTCTGTGGTGCATGGCACAGTGCTGCCCGGCACAGGACAACTTGGCACAGCCTGGCACAGCACATCCCAGCTCGGTGCATCTCCGTGCTGCATGGCACAGCACTGCCCGGCACAGCACAGCTCGGCACGGCGCTGTGCCACCTCGGCTGTGCCAGCACTGCCATGCCCCCACTCCACTGTGCCTGCCCGAGCTTTGCCCCGCACTGGGCAGGGGCTGCTCCATCCCTCGTGCCTCAGCAGCTGCAGTGTCCCCAAGGCTCCTTGTGAGAAACTAAATTGTGTGTTTGCAGCAGAGAATTACATGAGAAAGGAGAAATTAAGGGGTGGAAAGAAAATAAAAATGTACACGTTTTTTGTACACGCGGCAGCGAGCGTCTCCTGGGCGCAGAGTCCATCTCCTCGAGGTCACGGGGGTTCTGCTCCTGTCCCCAACGCTGCTCCTGCAGCCCCCAGCACAGCCTGCACCCCGTGCCGCTGCCCCCCCGGCACCCAGTGGGTCCCCCCCTGGCAGTGCCCATGGCCCCACGGGTGCTGCTCCCTTCCCTGCTGCTCCCTCCTCTGCTGTGCGCGGGTGGGACAGGACCCCCGAGGTCGTCCTGTCCAGCCTCGAACCCAGCACCAACGAGCTCTGCACACTGCTGGGCTCTGCGGGTACACAGCTCCTGGGGACCCCCAGGGATGGTGACCCCACCGCTGCCCTGGGCAACCCGTTCCAATGCCACACAGCCCTTCCAGTAAGGAAATATCTCCTAATACCCAACCTCAACCTCCCCTGCTGCAACTTGAGGCTGATTCCCCTTGTTATTACTCGGTGATTGGGAGAAGAGCTGATCCCCACCTTGCTGCGATGTCCTTCCAGGTACCTGTAAAGGACAATGAGGTCTCCCCGAACCTCCCCGTCTCCAAAATAAACACCCCCAGTGCCCTCAGCCGCAGGGCTTTCCGACCCTACAACATTTGGACACTCGTGCCCAGCTTGGTGCCACCTGGAAGCTGTTCTCAGCCACCTCGGCACCACCGGTTGGGATTTGCAGGGCTGCACCCACCGTGGGGGTGCTCGTCCCCCGAGGAGCTCCACCTGCCCGTGGCTGCACCAGAAATCGCAGATTTGGGGGTGTTTGGGGCACCCCCAGCTCCTGGGGCTGACGGCGTGCGCTGCCCCGTGACCAAAACGCGTTGGGTGAGAAGGGACAGGCGGCGCATCCTAACGGGGACACTGCCCCCTCGTGCTCGTTTCCATGTTTTATTAGTTCCTAGATTAAAAAAAAGGAAATATAAATACACGTGGTCCTTGCTGCGCTGCTCCCCGGGGGTCTCCCAGTGGGGCAGGATCAGTGTTTAGCCCATTTTACAGACGGGGAAACTGAGGCAAGGCAGTTGCAGAGCTGCCACCCACCACCCCCACCCGGCAGCCCCCAGCTCAGGGCCCCCACCCCAAAGGCAGCCCCCAGGTGCTGTGGGTGCCCATCAGTGGAGATGCCCAGGGTTGGGGTGCTCGGGGCTGTGAGCAAGGAAGGGTGGCACAGGGAGGGTGGCACAGGGACAACACGGTGCTGGCCGGGCAGGGTGACCCCAGGCCAAATTCAGACCTCCCCCAGCACCTCTCCTGTACCAGTTCCTAACCCGGAGCTGGGGGCACCTCACTGGGGGGTGTGGTGGCCCCATACCACCACGCACCCTGCAACCACCAGCCCTGCACAAACAGCCCACGAGCACCAGCCTGGCACGGGGAGGTGAGCGCACCCACGGTGCCAGCTCCAGCTTCAGCCCCGGTCCTGGCCGTGCATGCAGAAGCTCAGGGCTCCTTCGCCTCCAGCAGCAGAGGAACGGCCACACTCTGCCCCCCAGCACACCCCAGGGCCAAGCTCAAGCCCTTGTCTGTGCCAGGCACGCTGCCAGTGTGCCACGAGGGTGCCCTGCTTGCTCCGGGGTGAGCTGGCTCTGCAGCAGGTCCCAAAACTGCCGTGCCATTCCCCCTCTGTCTGCTCCATCTGCAGAGCTTCTGCCAGCTCCTACTTGTACTTGGCCAGGGCCTCCAGCGGCACCGGCAGCTGGGTGCAGGACATGAGCAGCGGGTGCACGGGGAGGAAGGGGCTGAAGGCGGCCTCCCCGTCCCCGTAGCGGGACAGGAGCCGCTCCTCCGAGTGCGTGCCCTGGTGCACGGTCAGCTCCTTCTTGTGGCTGAAGACCTTGCCGCACTCGGTGCAGGGGTAGACCCGCTCCACCGTGTGGGTGAGGTGGTGCGTCCGCAGGTTGCCCTTGTACTTGAAGCTCTTCCCGCACTCCAGGCAGGTGAAGGGCCGCTCGCCCGTGTGGATGCGCTTGTGCTTCATCAGCGTGGTCTTGAGGTTGAAGGTCTTGCCGCACTCGGGGCAGACGAAGGGGCGCTCGCCGGTGTGGATGCGCTGGTGGGTGATGAGCGTGCCCTTGCGGTTGAAGCTCTTGCCGCACACGGTGCAGCCGAAGGGCTTCTCCCCCGTGTGGATGCGCTGGTGCTTGATCAGCTCGCCGTTGTGGCTGAAGCACTTGCCGCAGTCGGCACAGGCGAAGGGGCGCTCGCCCGTGTGGATGCGCTGGTGCCGCGTCAGGTCGCCGTTGCGGCTGAAGCTCTTCCCGCACTCGCTGCAGCCGAAGGGGCGCTCGCCGACGTGGATCTTCTGGTGCAGGATGAAGGTCTTCTTGGCGCAGAAGCCCTTGCCGCACTCGGCGCAGATGAAGGGGCGCTCGCCGCGGTGGATCTTCTGGTGGGTGATGAAGTTGGCCTTGCGGTTGAAGCTCTTGCCGCACTCGCTGCAGGAGAAGGGCTTCTCCCCCGTGTGGATGCGCTGGTGCAGGATGAAGGTCTGCTTGGAGCAGAAGCTCTTCCCGCAGACGGTGCACTCGAAGGGCTTCTCGCCCGTGTGGATGCGCTGGTGCCGCATCAGGTCGCCCTTCTGGCTGAAGCTCTTCCCGCAGACGGTGCAGGCGAAGGGCTTCTCCCCGGTGTGCACGCGCAGGTGGGTGATGAGGTTCCCCCGGTGCTGGAAGCTCTTCCCGCACTCGCTGCAGGCAAAGGGCCGCTCGGTGCCGTGGCTGCGGGGCCGCCGGGCCGGCTCAGTGCCGGGTGCCGATGTGACTTTGTGCCCGGTGGTGCTCGCTGGGGGGACGGGAGCCTGTGCCTGTCCCCACGCAGAGCCCCCGGGGCTCGGCGGTGCCGCCCCGCGCCGGCTGCACCATCCACTGGCTGCCACGGGGAGCAGCCTCTGGGCTTTTCTCCAGCAGAGCCAGCTCTGGTTTCACGTCCTCCGGCTCCTCCTTGGGACGCTTCTCACCTTTGCCTTCGCCACCTACCAAGAGGAGAGATCCAGGGAATCGCTGGCACGACGCAGAGCCAGGAGCTGTGCGTGGCCCTGCGCTCCTGGGAACCCGGCACGGAGCTGCGCCTTGGCACAAGGCACGGCACGGCTGCGGCACAGGGACAGCCCCAGGCACCCACAGCCCGGTGCCACCGAGGCTGCCCCAGGGCTGCAGAGCCTCGGCTGTGGCACTGGATTAGTGCAGCCCCTTGGTGCAGGAGGAGCTGGCAGAAGCCATCGCAGCCTCGGCACCGCAGCCGGGTAAAACACCTCCCTCAAACCTGTCCCCATGACCAGACACACGTGCAAACTCTCCTCTAAAGCCTCTGTGCAGAGATCACACTCAAAGTTTGATCACACTCGCACCCAGACGCGGAGACGAGCCAGGTCCCGGCCCCGCTGTGCTCACCTGCAGCTCCCGGGTCACCCGGGCCCTGGGGACACCCGATGTACGCCTCCTCCTCCGGCTCCACCTTCACAATCACTTCGGGTTTGGCATCGCCTGCGGGGGCAGAGGGCAGAGGTCCGGGGGCTGCGCTCGGCGCACCCCGGGCACGGCCGCAGGCACCCCCATGCGCCCAGCCCCACTCACAGGCAGCGGGGTCAGGGGGCTCCTCCTTCTCCCGTGGGCAGCAGTCACCGTAGGAGTCGTCCTCAGGCTCGGTTTTGATGTCGAGCTCGGTTTTGATGCCTGTGGAAGGAAGGACCCAGCCCACACGTCCTGCTCTGGGGACGGACAGGGCCCTGCCGGTGCCACCCGGTGCCGTTGGGGAGCATCGAGCTCGGTGCCTCCTGCAGCCGGGGCCCCGGGGAACCACGGGGCTGCAGCAGCCGCAGGCCACTGGGGCTCCAAAGCGCCCATCGATATTAAATGATTGCATTTTACTAAGTTAAATATTATTAAGGATTTGTTATTAAATGCTTGTTACGCAGGGAAGGGAACTGCTGCTCTTCCTGCAGGAGGCAGTTCCCGGTTCCCAAAGCGCACGGGGCATGCCCCATCCCAGCACAGCCCCTCGGTGCAGCGCCCTGCTCCGCGTCACTTACTGGTGCTGGGGACACTGGGGACGCTGGGGACACTGGGGATGCCAGGGGTGGTGGCCCTCGCCCCTGGGTGCTGGGGGTACCCGATGGCCGACTCGTCCTCCGGCTCCGTTTTCACCACAACCTCGTGCTTCACAGCAGCCCAGCCCTTTCCTGGGGAAGAAAAAGCCAAATTTGGGTTCCTTTGACATGCAAACAGCCAGCAGCCAAGAAACGCTGCCACATGCCCCATGGCACTGGGCTGGGCACAGAGGGGACAAAACCTCCCCCAGGGAGAATGGAGCCCCCCAGCACCACCCAGCCCCGGGCAGCGACCACCCCAGTGGGTCCCTGCTGCCCAGCGGGGGTCCTCACCCACGAAACCCCCCAGCAAACTGAGCCCCGTGGGCAGCAGGCATGGGCAGCCCCCCCGGGGGTCCCACAGCTCACCTGCGCCGTGGGGTCCAGGGACTCCCCTGCGCCCCCCACCCTGGGGGTCCCCCACGAACGGCTTCTCCTCCAGCTCCATCGCCGGGGGTCTCGGGGTCCCGAGGGACAGGACAGCCGCCTCCAGCCACGCTGCTCCCTGGGAATGCCTGCAGAGAGACCCCAGGCAGAAGTGTCCCCCTGTGCCAAAACGGCCCCAAAATGCGAGCGGCGAAGCAGCACCAGGGGGGGCTCGGGCACAGGGGGGCTCCGGAGATCTCCAAGCTGCTCCTCCCGCCGGCTGATTGCTCCCCTCCCCCTCCATCCGATCCCCTTCCCCTCCCCTCTGCCCTCGGGGAGCTGCTGCTTTCAGCAGGGGCGCACACAGGAGGAGGAGGAGGAGGAAAAGGAGGAGGAGGAAGATCAACCCGGGGGCTACAACAGCACAGAGCAGCCCAGGACAGGGCTCGGTCACCCTGCCTGCACCCCACCTCGCTCCTCAAAGCCCAGCACCAGTGGCACAAGGTCACAGCCAAGGCACAAAGCAGGGCTAGGAGGAACTGGGAGAAAACCCCGCAGATTTTGGAAGCGGCTGCACCCCACGAAGCCAGCCAGCTTTCCTCAGCTGCTGGGCACAGCGTTCACGAAGGCACGGCGATGCGGTAGATGCAATCTCAGTGGAATTTGACACGCTGCCACGAGCAGCACCGGGGCAGCCCCAGGCAGGTGAGGAACCGCTGGGGACACCCCTGTGGTGAGGGTCAACGTCCCCAGGTGCCCCAGGCACCACGCGCTCAGGCACCCTCCTGAGCAGGACATGGTGGCAGTGCCCAGGGGGGATTTGGCTGTGTCCCCACAGAGCCCCACGTGCCTGAAAAGGGGTCCCCAGCACCACCCTGACCCCGTCCCGCCGAGCTGCACATGCAGCAAACCTCCAGAGCAGCGCGTGCTGTGCGCTCCGGGGACGCTCCCTGCTCCTGCCCCCCCAGGGCATCCTCCCCGTGTCTGCGGTTTCCCACCCGGATTTTCACTCCGGCACACCCTGGCCTGCACCTCACCACTCCTCCAGAAGCTCTCTGCTCCTCAGGGCACCCGCTGCTGCCGCCGCTTTTGCTGGCCAAATGCTCTGTGCCCAGGGGGCCTCTGGCAAACTGCAAATAACCACAGAGCGAGCAGGAGCAGGAGCAGGAGCAGGAGCAGTTGCAGCGTCCTCATCCTCACCCCGCCAGCCCCGTGCCCCCTCCTGAACCTCACCTTCCCTCCCGCTTGGTGCCACATCCCCCTGGTGCGGAGCCTGTCCTGCCTCCCACCTGCCCGCAGCACCAGTTCATGCTTTCAAACAAGAGAGGGGTTGTTCCGGGGGGGCTCTCCCCGAGGTGCCCCCACCCCCTGCTTGCTCTCCCACTGGCACAAGCCCCTTCCTGGGGTCAGGGAATTTCGGATGAGCTCCAGCAGGCACCAGCCAGTGCCAGGCACGGGTTCTGCCCACATTACCTGCGCCCCTCGTAGCACAGCCCGGTGGCTCCCCCACCCCACATCCACCCCCCCAGCACCTCCGGGTGCCCCAGGAAAGCGCCCGGACCCCCGCCCATCCCCTCCCCGCTCCTTGGTGCCAGTCCCTGGGGGCAGCAGGGTCCCAAAGCAGGGTCCCAAAGCAGCGCAACCGGTGCGCTCCCCGTGCCGTTCCGTGCCAAGGGCGCGTGCCCGCGGCTGTCCCAAAGCCGTGCCTGCTGCCGGCAGAGCCGGGGGCGGGGGGCTCGAGCCGGGGGCGCCGCTCGTACCGGGGGCACGGCCCGAGCCCGGTTCCAGCCCCAGCGGGGACCGGCGGCACCGGCACGCGGCGAGCCCCGGGCGCGCACCGTCAGCGCCGTTTGGCGGTGTCCTCGGGCACTCCTCGGGGCTGGGGGTGCGCCCCGGGGGGGGGTCGCATGCCCCTGGCTCCGTGCGCCCACCCGGGGCCGGACAGCAGCGGGGGGAACCTAGGGGCTGGGGGGGGGCGGTGGGTACCGGAGCCCCCCGGCACCGCACCGGGTGCCCCCAGGCCCTGCTTTATCCCCCGCGGCACCGTCCCCGTCCCGTCCCATCCCGGACTCCCCCTGCCCCCCCGGAGCCCCCCATCTTTTTTGGGGGGGGTCGCACAAGCGGCACCCGCACCGACCGCACCGCGCCGCAGCCCCGCGGTCCCTGCGCACCGCGCACAACCGGCACCGGGGCTGGGGGGGGTGGGTGCGCGACCCCCGCTCCTCCCCCCGGTGTCCCCCCCCCGAGCCCCCCGAGCTCCCCGAGCCCCCCGAGCCCCCGGTGCCCCCCGCCCCGCTCTCACCGGCGGCGCTCAGAGGGGCGGCGGTGGGGGCATCGCCGCCGATGGCCGCCGACCGCGGGAGCGCACCGGGGCGGGCGCACGGGGCGAGGCAGACAAAGGGCCGCCCCGCTGCACGCCGGGAGATGTAGTCCGCCCCCCCGCCCCCCCGGCACCGCCCCGACGCCCCCCCGGTATCGGCACGGCACCGGCGACCCCCCGGTAAAGGCACGGTCCCGGCACCGGCACCGCCCCGGCGACCTCCTGGTACCGGCACGGCACCGGGAACGGCACCGGCACTTGTGGGAGGGGGGGGCGCAGGGTGTGGGTAACGCAGGGGGGTGGAGGAGAAGGTGGGCAGGAGGAGTTTTGGGTCCTGTTGCTCTGTCCCGTTCTGCGCTCCTGGGCATGGAGCTGGAGCCGGGGCGTCCTCCCGAGCAGCCTGGGGTGACACCCGGGCACGGATGGTGGCCAAGGGACCGGGTCAGCTTTGGGACGGCAGAAATGTTCCCAGCCAGAGGGCAGCAGGCACCCGGGAGGGGCACAGGGAGCAGCGAGGGGACAGAAGGAAAGAGGAGAAAGCAGGCCAAAGACCATTGAGGAGCCCGGGAGCAGGGCCAGCAGGAGCAGGACCGGAGCCAGAAGACGCCTGCCCTGCCCTGCGCTCGCACCCACGATAGCCCTGGGGTCAGGATTTCTCTGTTTTTGCTCTTTCTGCCCATTATTCTACCATCAGGAAACAAGAAAATTAGGGTGCCATGCACTGAGCTCGGTACAGCAGCACAGCGAGGAGCAGAGCTCTGGCTGGCACAGGGAGCAAACTCCTTGGACATGGTGTGCAGCAGCGGGTGTGCTGCTGGGAGCACTGCGGCTCCCGGGGGGAAGAGGCTCTGCCGCTGCGGCTGGATTAACGCAGAGATTTCTCAGGTCTTTGTCTGAGCTCGCACGTGCCCTGAGACCAGCAGGATGTGAGCACGGCACGGCCTCCTGCGCCCGAGCAGATGGCGCTTGGCCGCGGTCCCCGGGATGCAGCTGCAGCGAGCAGCGTCCCGGCTCCGTGTCCCCGAGGCCCTGGGGTCACCCCACGGCAGGGGCAGTGGTGAGGGCTGTCCCTGGGGCTGGGGAGGGGGCACAGCGGTGGGCACGGAATGGCCATGCCTCCTGGGAGTGCTGCTGCATGGGGTGCTGGCCCCATGGGTAGGGTGGCAGTGGGATGCAGGACCCCCGAGCAGGTCCCCCCAGCACCATCCTGCCCCATCCCAGCACACACCACAGAGGGCAAAACAAGCCCCCCAAGGTGCTGCAGGACAAAAGCCCGTGCCAGGAGCGGCCCCAGCGCAGTTTTGGGGCTCCCCAGAGCAGGGGAACCCCCCCCAGGTCCTGCGCCTCCTCTTGGGGCAGCTCAGGAGTTGGGGGGCTGGTGTCCCACGGGCACCTCGGGGCTCCCAGCAGGGACCAGGTGGGGCAGGGCACAGCAGCCAGGGGCAGGCAGCAAACCCCTCTCCCCTCCCTGCATCGCTCCTGCTCCTCCCCATCCGCCCGGCCCGGGGGGCACCGGTTCACCCAAACAGCCACCTGTCTGCAAAAGGACTTTATTAAGCTACGAAATTACGCAAACCATCCTCATAATTAGGTGACACCACTCTGTGAGGTGGTTGGAGCACTCTGAAGTCCTCGTCCTGCCCCTCGGTGCCGATCCTGACGGCCAGCACTGATGGAGGATGCAGAGCCCAGGCTGTTCTCCTTCACCGAGGTGGGGCCGGCAGCAGCCAGCACTCAGGCCAGGGGTGTTCAGGGCCCCCCTCCCATGGTCCCAGCCTCCCACAGGCAGGGCCACGTCCTGGGGGGCTGCTCGGGAGTGGGTCAGGCTGTGGCCTCGCCAGAGCGGCCACAGGAACCTCCCCTTCCTTGCACCGCACAGCCCCGAGGCGCTGGGGGCAGCTCAAGGTCCTGGGAACGGGGCAGGGGTCCTGGGTGCTGCCCCCCAGAGCCCCCAGACGAATTTGGGCAGCCAGGGGGGATCCGAGCATCAAAGCTGGGTGGCAGCAGGGAGCCTGCTTTGTGAGCAGGGCTCAAACCTCCCTTCTGCCCCACCAGCCAGGCACGGGGGCTTTCCAGCTCAGCTGCAGCCACCCAGGCTCCACGCTCCCGTGGCTCTCCTGGCTTTGAGCTCAAGACGAGGACACGAAGACACCCGGGCAGCTCCACCAGCTACCAGGAGGCTGCTGCTCCCCAGCCCCACCAGGGCACTGGGGGAATTCCTCGAGGTGCCAAGGGGTCAGGGCGAAATCCCCAGCCACATTTAGGAGCTACGGCTGCCCGCACACCGGGTCACCCCCCGTGCCAAAGGCGCCGCCGTCCCCGTGCGCCCGCAGGTGCAGGAGCAGCTTGCTCTTGGAGCTGAAGCCCAGCCTGCACTGAGCACAAGCAAAAGTCTTGTAGCGCCGGTGGAGCTTCTTGTGCGTGATGAGGTTGGCCTTGTTGCAGAAAGCCTTGTCGCACTGGGCGCAGGCGTAGGGCCGCTCGCCCGTGTGCACGCGCTGGTGCACCAGCAGGTTCCCGCTGCGGCTGAAGCTGCGGCCGCAGACGGGGCACTTGTGGGAGCGCTCGGGCGCGTGGCTGCGCTGGTGGATCATCAGGCTCTCCTTCCAGCTGAAGCTGCGGCCAGCAGCGCCCGCAGACGAAGGGTCTCTCCTCGACGTGGCTGGCCCGGTGCTGGCTCAGGCTGGCCTCGTCCTCGAAGCGCTTCTGGCACTGGGGGCACTGGCGCGGCGCGGCGGCCGCGTGCTCCCGGCGGTGCTCCTGCAGGTCCCGTTTGTGGCGAAAGCGCCGGCTGCAGAGCGTGCAGGGGTAGCTGCCCTCGCCTGCGTGGATGGCCCGGTGCCGCAGGAGGTCCCCTCGCAGGCAGAAGGTGCAGCCGCACTCGGCGCAGGCGTGCCGGTGCCGGCCCCGGTGCTTCTTGTGTGTCAGGAGGTTGCGGTGGTGCTGGAAAACCTTCCCGCAGGCCGTGCACTCGTGGCTGGGCGCCGGGACGAGGTGCTCGCCCTGGTGCGCCCCCAGGCTGGCCGCGTCCTCGAAGTTCTCCCCGCAGGTGCCGCAGATGAGGAGCCCCCCGGGCGCCACCGGCTCCAGTGGCCGCTCGCCCCGCTCCCACGTCCCCATCCTCCTGGGGGAGCCCCAGGTCCCTGCCTCGCACCAGCCAGGGCACAGCGGGGGGCACCCCAGCTCCTTGGCACCCCCAGACGGCGGCACGGGTGGAACCCAGTGTCCTTGGTCACCGTCCCCAGGCGGGTCCTCGCCAGCCATCCTGCCCCGGGGAGCTGCAGGGAGCAGAGGCACAGCGTCAGGGAAGTGTCCCAGTGTCCCCACAGCCCGACAAAGCCACCACGTGGGCAGCACCAGCCTCCCCTCGCCCCTCTGGTGCCGCAGAGTGGGGGCCCTGAGCTGCGACACCCCCACCTCTGGCTGGAGCCACCGGCCCCATGGCACAGCTCGGGGCTGTGCCCACGACGCACGGAACCTGCCCCAGCCACCAGCCCGCTGTCCCCAGGCACCCGGGGGGCTGCACCCCACACCACTCACCAATGCCAGCGGTGTCGGGAGTTTCTCTGTCCCCCTCACCAGGGGAAGCCCCCCCACACGGCTCCTCCTCAGGCTCCATTTTGGGGACGAGCTTGGATGAGGTGTCAACAGAGCCTGTATGGGAGAGAGACCCCTCAGCACCCCCCAGAGCACACCCAGGGAGTGTCACCGCCACCAGAGGCCCTGGGGACATTCCAGGGGTGCCAACAGTGCCATCCAAAGCTGCTGGTACCAGCCCCAGCAGTGGCACTGAAGCTGGGAGCAGCGCGGCTGGGGTGCCCAGAGCGCTGCCCATGCACGTTTTTGGCCAACCCAAACCCTGGCACGGCTCCTCCTTACCCAGGCAGGCGACCAGGTCGTAGTTGTCCATCATCACCTCCTGGTACAGCTCCCGCTGCCACGCCGCCAGCTCTACCCACTCCTCAGGGGAGAAGTAGATGGCCACGTCCTCAAACGCCACCGCAGCCTGGAAAGCAAAGCCGGGGCTGGGGGTCCAGCAGCTCCATCCCCACCTGCGGGACGTGGCACCTGCAGTGCCCGGGGGACATGCAGGGCTGAGGTGTGTCACGGTTCCCAGAGCATCCCCAT